ATGAGAGAAAACATCCCGCAGAGGGCAACAAAGCTCACATATTTGTTTTTGTTATTGTCAAATATATTATCTGGATATTTTCTGTGTGACAGAAACCAGAAAACTATCAGCAGCATCATGAAGTGTCTTCTGGTTTTATTTTCAGCTTGAGGTGCAAACTTTAATGTTAATTAATCAAAACTTCACATCTTTATCCAGAGTTTTATATGTTCAGGATGTGTGAGGAGTCTGTGTACAGATATTTTTTTCTGAATGAATAGCTGTATAAAATGGAAATACTTTCTGATTTACATTATATTTTCTTTTTATTTCAAATCAAAGTTATTCAACAATTAAACGGTCAGAGATCAGATATAGTCTATTGTTTGGTTTCCTTTATTGCTTTGGGAGAGATATGACCGACTGATGGGGTCTGGCTTTCATTTCTTTCCTGCAGTGTTGGAAACAATCAAAAAATACAAATCATCATCAAATATTTAATCTTATAGGTAGATACACACTTTCACCAGGTTTCCTCAGTAAATATGAAACTGTTCTGCTACATCTAATGATCATATGGACTTCTTAATCACCACATTTTAAGGATACTTTTATTTCAAATCGTGTTGGCTACAGGAAACTGTGCATGCATTTGTAAAGCATCCTACCAAGGTTGGCCTACAAACACAAAAGTGTTATCAACACTTCAACATGTTATTATTCACATGGATAACATACAATGAATAATTATGCTGATTCCAAATGAGCTCTTTACAACTTCACTTATCCAAATGAATATGAATCCAGGGCATGAATAGCAGACTCTGCCACTTACAATGAAAACTACAGAAACAAAAGAAATGAAAATGAGACAAAATGTTGACCATATAATGAATCTGAAACTGCATTACATTCCAAATTAACATTTGCCTACTAGATTTAGATAGTTGGATGTTCAGTATTTGTTGGAGTAAGATACATGTTGGTTAAGAAGAGGTCGACAACATGTTTTTTTCATGACCATCATACTCGGTGTGTTTAAATCTGTTGTGTGTGTTTGTCTGTTTAATTATGCGAAGTGTCTGTGTTAACCAGTATGCCTCAGGTCTTCCATTAGCACACACAAACACACACACACACACACACACACACACACACACACACACACACACACATATATATACGTAATTTCAGGGACAATCATAATTAAACAGACGTGTTGGTTCATTGAACCCACATTGAAACAAACAGAGCCAACTGATAAGGATCCTCCATATTATTGCATAAGAAATTAATATTTAATCAACATAAAAAAAAAAAACCAGACTGCAGATCAGTTTACACGGAGTGCCGCAGGAATCTTTTACTGAATACTGAGCCGTGTATTGACCATTAATTGTACATCAGGACTGTGTCTGTGAAGATGAATCTGATGTGTAACGCCTGATGGGGAACCCGGATGGACGTGGTCTGTTCTTGTCTGGATCAGCTGGAGTTGACAGACAAACAATTGGGGATCTTTTAAGCGTTATATCTGACGTCTTTTAGTCCAGTGTTCACCATTTTAAAAAGCTAGTTTCAGCAGCAACCAGTGATGTCACTAGTTGTCCACTGAAGGAGTTATTGTACCTTCATGTACAAGACAGTGAAGAAGAAAAGGAAGAAGAATAAGGAAATAAGAAGAAGAGGAATAATTATATAAATAAATAATAATAATAATAATTTAAAAAGTCTCTTTTTTTTCTCTGTAAAACTGGTATAGATCGTCCCTAAAACTGTGCGGATGCTATAATGGCTCCAGGCTGCTGTATGACTGTGATACCGTCCGACACTTCTGACAGTGCAACCAGTTAAACACACACACACACACAAACACACACACACACACACATTCTCACGCACGCTGGCACTGCCCCCCAAGGTACTCAGCAGGCTACAAAGGCGTCCCAGCATGCATTTCTCTGTTCGCTTTACAACACACTCAACTGGAAACAAAAAGAGCATCATTTTGTGCGTGTGTGTGCGCGTGTGTGTGCGTGTTCGTGTGTGTGCATAAACCCACTGGCCTGGAAGCTGAAGAAAACCTTCTACTCATGACACCAGAGAAATAAAACAGTGAGGTCATACTGCTGTGCCCTACTTCATGTTCACAGCTGAGATTAGGATGAGACAGTGATGTCATCAGGAGATTTCTACAGGGAGGCAAGCTAACCAGGCAAATGTGTCTGGGTTATAGAATGACATAAGTTATTGAGAGGGATCACTTTGGGTGGACATACATTTGACTGTAAAGCACTTGCAATCCAGCAGTTGGCAAAGCTACTTCTTGGATGCAAACTGCCAAAAAGATAAACAGAAGAAGAAGAGACACGAGTTAACTGACAGAGGTAACCAGCAAAAGCCAGTTGAAATGGACAAAATCGGACACAGGAACGCTACAGTGGACAAAATAAAGCAAACATAAGCTATCAGAAAAAAGCCTATAAACCAAATTTAAAAGAAAATTAACACAAACACAGATAAATACAATATAATATACACACATTAACAATCAAAAGGAACAGAGAGAAGCTTAAACACAAAGAGACAAAACCAAAGTCCTTTTCATATATAAACTCTTGTCATTGATAAATTGTGGGTCATTAACATGCTAATGATCAAGGATGACTCACATGAGAGTCGTTAGCTGAGGCCAGTTGCCTTTGGACCAAGCTTTGAATTTACCATGACCTGGATGATTGAGAACCTACACAGACTTCAGTTATTATTTCAGGTCATTCAGACCATGTTATTGTCTCTCACACACTCCAACTCACAAACTGCAGCTGCCACAATTTAAAATATGCAGTTTGAATGTGGGAGGTAAGTGACAGTATGATGTATGGAGGAGGAATCATGTTCCTGTGTTACATATGGAAGTGTAACAACACCACAGGTAACTGAACCCAAAAGCACGACTCACAACGCAGTCTTTGATTGGGGGGGGAAAAACAGTCTTTACTCTTTAAGCAGACACAATCCAAAAAAAGTGATCAAAGAGGAAACAAAAGGCTTGAACGCTTCTCACAGGGGTCAAAGATGAACTGGCACAGAGAGAACGGAAGCTACAGACTAAATACTAGGGTGAGGGGGAAGACAACGAGATGCAGCTGGGAACAATCAGGGCGGGGCAGACAATCACACAGGTGGGAAACACATGAGGGCAGGAAGTGAAGGATCTGAAACGAGAGGAGAAGTTAGTGACCCAAAACAGGAAATAATACAAGATAGAAATAAAAACAACCTAAGACACTGAGCTGGACATGACAGGAAGTTTCTGCAAGACAAGTGTAATGGGGAAATAATCAACTGACAGCAAAACTCTGCTAACATGAACAACATTGTCTTTTCCCCCAATTGACTCCCAGGAATGCGCTAGACTAGCTTTCTGTGTTCACACATTGACTCACCCCAACTTACACATAACATGGGGGCTGGCAAGAAAAAGGTAAAGTTACAAAACGGTCAAGTTGGGGTGAACAGATTTAGCTGCTTATTTTCACTCATGCATTTTGACCTAGACAATGTCAGGACATTTTTGGGAGTTCAGTGAGTGTGTCAAAGGGGGTTAATAGGGAAAAACAAAGCAGAAGCCCATATAATAAAAAAAGAAACGGATAAAAAACAGACCGGAGCGCAGCAAAAAAAAATCAATGAGACAAGATTTTAAGAGGCTGTTGACAGAAATGCAAACAGCAAGGGGTAGGCAGAAAAAATAAACAAAATACAACAGGAAGAAACTGTCAGACAAACACTTGCAGACACAGATTAAAAACAAAGCAAACAAAACTTAATGGACAAATGCTTATAGACAGAAGCGTTAAAGCCAAATATAACAGATAGCCAACATTCTGACAGACAGACAAAAGCTGAAAGAGGCTGCAAAAAGACAAAAGCTTAAAAAGGGCTAACAGATAAGATGTAATTGACACATCTATAGAAGAAGCTAACGGATTCCTGATTCAGAAGCAGGATGAATGAAGAATTTATCTGGGATATTGAGTTGTTTAAAACCTGCATGTGAGCCTGCCTGGACCCTAAATACAGCTGTTAAGGTTTAGCCTGTGTGCTGGAACAGACTTTAAACATGATGTCACTAAGTGTAAGAGTTAATTACAAGTTATATGTTGGAAGAGAAGGGGGCTTCGGGGGCTGGGGATGCTTGTTTCCGTGGCAACCACAGTAAGGGTCTGGAGCTGATACCCTGTTGCTGCGGCAACCATGCATGCTGGCAGTGGATGGTATGATGAATGTGACTTAAACACAGAAGAAAACATGGGCCTAAGAAGAGGGAATATGAATGATGAATTTATTTTTCTGCAAGACTGACTCACATCTCAGCAGGTCACTGACTTAGTGATCATTGATTACAGAAGATCATTTTCTACCATAAATCTTGAATTGTAAATAGCCTATTGAAAGCACAAAGTCAGTTGATTTTTGCAGTTGCACATCTGTGTATAGTGTATCATTTGTAGGTAAGCACTTCTAATTATTAACATTTGTGGGGGACTTGCTTGATGCTGAAACACATCACTAAGGAATTATTGTTGTGAAGGAGAGTGCTTTTAAATTTCTCATTGACTGAATCTCTATGTTTAGCCTATTCTTATCTGAAGAAGCCTATAGCCAACAATAATGTGGAAAGACAAGAATATGTGGATTGAATTTGCCTAGGCCTACATTAAATAGGCTTACCTATTCAGATAATTTAGTAGGAACAAAGGCATTAAATATAAAGATAAAGATAAAGATAAACTTTATTGAGAAAGATTGATAAACGTGTTGATAAGACTAAATGTCACCATGACTAAGAGTGTGAAGGTGTTTTGTGTGACCGTGCGTGCTAGAGCAGGTGTCACTTCATTAATTCACAAACAGCAGCTTGTTCCCGCGCTTCGCTGCTCGCGCGCCTCCGATCCTCCGTCTCTAGAGCGCGCGAGCGAGCGAGCGAGCGTCAGGATTCAAGGACGGACCGCGGGCTCGCGAGCTTCAGGTCATCTGGAAGTCCGAGAGCATCAACCCAATGACACAGAGCACCGGATCAATATTTTGAAGAAACACCGATAAATGGACCAGAAAAGAAAAGAAAAAGAAAAAGAACATCTGAGAGAGATTTTTTAACATGTGAATGGAGCCGCATGATGAGGACACGGTGAATCAACAGGACGAGGCGTGAGGTGCTGTCAACAATGTCAGCGGGGTTTATCGGTTAACTGAAAGAAAAACAACACTTCATCGATAAAATAAAAGAAACCAATAAGGGTTTAATGTTAGGGCGAAAATCTGGGGGGTAGTGAACAAAACCCCCCACGACTCGGACTATCAGTTTAAAATTGTATTCTTTATTATAAATTTTAAAAAAACAATCACGACCAACACCTTTAACCTGAAAGACCCGAGTAACCGGACCGAACCGGAGGATAATAAGCTGGTGCTGGTAATAGGCTACTGAATCTCCGTGATTTGAATAAATCACAGACGGTGAAATCAACAGGAGACCGACTGAACGACGCAGTTTTGTAACGGAATTTCTAACCTGAGAGTCGGAGAAAATATCGGTTTAATCTCGAGAAGGAAACAGAACCAAAACCATCTGCGAAAAGTAAGTCACATTTTATGACATTAATCTGTATTTTGTCCATTTTTCTCTGATTTATCGAGGTGCAATGTGTCAGATTTAATTCAGAAAATGTCATCTTCACCCACCTTTCTCAACATTAGGCTACTATGTCTTTCAAAAGACTGCAATAGTCTTCATGCCAATTACAATTTTCAGCTTCAGTCTCTTCTTTTCCTTCATTAAATTGTACATTTTCGGTCGATTCAAAATCTTCCTAAATTCCAAAGAATTTCCTTCCAACCTTTTCAGTCTTCCTCTGTTCTTAGCAGGTTTTTTTATTTTTTGATTGAATATTAAGTCTTCCCCAAATCTCTAATTGACCCAATTTAGAAGAAATGTCAAACAGTTTAACATATCATTAATATTTTGAAATTGTGAGAAAGGAATAGTCTACATTTCTTTCAGAAGCAAAATTGAAATCTTGTCTTTCTTAAAATACTGAGAATACATTCAGTGGCCTGTATTAATGAATAATAGAGGATTAAGATTTTTAAGACCTATCAGTTAGGCCTATTTGTATGTGGAGCCACACCCACAGGCATTCAAAATCACAGGTGGTGTTATTATTATTATTTTTTAAATGTTAAATTAAGCAGAGCTTTCCCTCTCATCCAATGACATGGCGGGGAAGTGAATCCATCATTGATTCCAAATATCAAGTTTAGTACATTTTGGTGGAAAAGTCCTCTGCAGACAAAAAGTCAGACAGTAGCCTTTTCACAACAGCAGCTTGTTGTCTTCGTAAACAGGAGGATGGTACACTTAAAAGCTTTTATACACAGAGCTAATCTAATCTAGGCTTATTGCTTAATGGTTGTTAGTGAGCTTGTACTCTTTCCTGTTTCATTAATTTTTTATGGAAGAAAAATAAGTTTTAACAAACTGTGTGGAGAGAGTTAATGAAAAGTAAGTAAATCAGATTTAAGCTGAAAGAGTCATTGTGAGTGACTATAGTGTAAGCCCAGACAGCTAGCTAAATAGCTGTCAGCTATGAGGCTTTACAAGACTCTTGACTCTCTCTGATCGATTGCGCTTTCATGCCAGTTTACTAGATATGAAGATGCAAGCAGGTTGGCTTAACTTAGTAAATCTAGAAACAGTTCACTGGGAGCATGTGTTTGTGAGATATCTGATTTCTTGCCAATAAATATTCTAATGCAACTAAAAATACAGGGCGTCGGATGTCAGCCCTATGTAAAGGGACTATAATCCTCCACACAGCGGCTGTGGGTTTGAATCCGCCTGCCGATAGTTGTTATCTGTTCTTTTGTTTCCAAATGGTAATTTTTTTTGTTAGAACTTTTTAGTTTTCATTTGTAATTTGTTCATTAAAGAGCAGATATAACATCATGATCGACAGCTCCGTTGAGGTTCCTGTAGCGGTCTTCACCAGATCAGCAGAGTAGAGGAAGACAACAAGGAAACCTAACGAAGGCTAACATGGTCATTAGACTTTCCATAACTGTGAGTGTCTGATTCAAATCAACACAAGAATCAGATGTGCTCTGGACTAGAGTGACTTGAATGATCTCAGCCTTCTCATCCATAAGTTAAACGTGTGCATTGGTAAGTGCAAGGGGCACGTGTAACAAAACCACAGGTAATTGAACTCAAAAGCACGACTCAAAACACAGTCTTTGGTTAGGGAAAAAAAACAGTCTTTACTTCTCACAAGCAGACAGAATCCAAAAAAGTAATCCAAGAGAAACAAAAGGCTTGTACGCTTCACACAGAGGTCAAAGACGAACTGGCACAGAAGGAAGGGAAGCCATAGACTAAGTACTAAGGTGAGGGGGAAGACAACGAGATGCAGCTGGGAACAATCAGGGCGGGGCAGACAATCACACAGGTGGGAAACACATGAGGGCAGGAAGTGAAGGATCTGAAACGAGAGGAGAGGTTATAGTGACCCAAAACAGGAAATAATACAAGTAGAAATTAAAACATAACCTAAGACACGGAGCTGGACATGACAGCATGATTTAAAATGTATGTAGCTCTACCAGCCAGGTCTCTTCTGCATATGACTTGGCTCCAAATGCAACACCAGCGCAATATATTATATTATATATATGTCAGCACCTGTTGCTGAGATATTATGGTTTCACTTTTGTACAATGAAAGGTGACAGGATGGGTCATCCATATGTATACACAGTCAATGGTCTGAACACAGATTGAAGAATGAACTCCCTGCCAATCTTGGTTCGGTGTATAAAACAGGCTTACCACATTAAGAGCCTTTTTTGTCTGAGCCTCATTGTTGTTAAAGCGCCCGCAAATAATCCTCCCAGAGTACTGACTGCGTTCTGAAACTCATCTGTTAACTGTGACTCCGAGCCGTGTCTAATTGCTCATCTTTTTCCTAAGCTGCTTGTTTCTTCTGAGACACCTCTCTCAGAAATAAGTGTTTGACCAGTGAAGTGTGTGTTTGTCTGATTATTTAGAAGATCAAGATGGAGGGCACGATAATGAGATTCAAGGAGTAGCGAGGTTTTATCAGCATCTTATCCACTTAATGTTGTGAGTCAACAGCAGAAAAGGGCTCACTTTAGCAATGAAAGCTGCGAGATTACAGGAGCAGAAAGCAGCTTTTGGTTCACTGTAAACAAATGAAAACATTTTGTTGTCACTTGAAAACATACATGAGATAATACTTTCAGAGATAATCCCTTTTATGAAGAGTATAGATGCCCTTTTCAACCAAACACAGTTGTTATTCCCTCTTCAGAGCCAGCATACTCCATTGACAGGTATTTTTACCCTGCAGAACACTTGGTTTGCTGGTCTGTGTCCACCATGATCTCTTAATTTTCAACCTAACGACAGGCTGAGAGCTGGAGTTGAGGCGAGTTTTAAGCCTCTTGATGAACCGTTGCCATGGGCCCCAGTGTGTTCCCGTGATGACAATAACTAATCAGACCTATTTTTTATTGTTTGCACCAGGTTGTTGTAAAAACAGGCTTTTTGGGCTGTGTTGTGTCTGTCACTTCCTGGAGTCATGGAGCCAGCCTCAAGCTAACACATTTGATGAACCGCAGGATTTTGCACTTCTGCATCAGGTTCATTTTTCAAGACCAGAGTTTGCGGCTTGCATCAAACACAATATGTATTTAACACGTAACAGAAAAACAGATCTGAGCAAGTGGTTGATCATCAATCTGGTGGCTTTTAAGAGATTGATCTAATGCCACTGGTTTACTACAAGGTCTATCCCTGCTGGGGTCTTTCTGTCGTCTTGTCAGACTCTAAGAAAAACAATCTCAGCCTGTCAGTGGACAAACATTTTAACTTTACTTTGAGTACTTTGTTCAGACACAGACAATGCCCTCTAGAAATACATGTTTTATGCATTGAAGTCATTTCGACTCCAAATATGTACAACAATGGTGTGACAGTTTAGTGATCAATTTTCTCATGTTTCCACGTGGAAGACTATTTAAAGAAACTGCGAAAAACAGCTTAAATAGCAAGTCTTCGGTTAGAAAGAGGGATTTAGATGCAGCCTCAGTTTGATCTGCAGCCCCAAGCAACATTTCGACATTGGCAAAGCATTATTGATCAGGCCAGACTGAAATATCTCATTAACTGTTTGATGGATTGTGATGACATTTGGTTCAGACATTAATGTTCCTCTCAGGATGATTAATTGTGGCTTTGATGATCCTCTGACTTTTCATCTTGGGCCTTCATCAGGCTTCAATTTCAATGGTAAAATAATTGGGATAAGACCAAATGTACTTATGACATTTCTATGAGCAACATCTGTACTTTGTGCTTACTGGTAATAACTAATATTAGCATGCTAATATGCCAGTTTAGGACAATGAACTTTATACCACCTTGTCATCAGCATGCCCCACAAAGTGAAACCCCACAGAGCTGTTAGCATATCTGAAGACTGTATTAACCAGCCTCCCCATTCCCTCCTTCTCCTCAGTGGAGCTCCGCGGCATGCTGCTCCTCACCGTCCTTCAGTGCTGTTCGGTCGCTCGATGTGGCTGTGAGCCTCGGCTGGTGAACATCGGTGCTGTGCTGAGTCAGAAACGCTACGAGCAGGTGTTCAAGGATGCAGTGAGCCAGGCCAACACTCTGTATGGGAAAGACAAGTTCAAGATGAACGCCATCTCCGTCACACACAAACCTAACGCCATCCAGATGGCTCTGTCCGTCTGCGAGGACCTCATCTCCAACCAGGTGAGGGCGCTCTCCTTTCCCTGTCCCCTGACTCAGCCTCAGGTGTTCTTTATATGTTAGAGTTCAAATTAGATTTGTTTAAAAAGGAAAATTTGAGTTTTGGTGATGTCACTGAAAAACGTCTCTCCTCTCTCTCTCTCTCTCTAACACTCAGATATTTAATCATGCAAAAAGATAATGTTTTGGGTGTGTGTTTCAGGAGTAGCACGGTGATGCTAATTAGTGGATTTATAGAAATGTCATCAGATAGAATTTTGCAGACCAGTCATTTCTATTAGTGTTGGTATGCAGGGTTTGGGCTAAAATTAGAAGGTAGCACACTGATCCATTTCCTGGTCATGAATGTCAGAGTTTTAGTTATTTAATAAGAGTTGTGAATATTAACACCAGCATTGATGTGTTTCATCACAGAACAGTCATCACATTTCAGTGTTTCCCCTAGGTTTACAGCTTTGGGGGGGCGGGCCGCCCCCCTAATATAATGGTAGGGGAAACACTGCATTTAGATTCAAGCTTTAAAACACGATGTGCATGCAGTAAAGGTAAATTAATCCCTTGAAAACTAGCCGCCCTTATTTCCATAATAAAGTTTGAATTGATCTTGAAAATAAAAGAATGGTAGTTATATCCTTCATTCTTTTTGACACTGAAAGCCGATATAAGGCTTTAGTCTTTTGAATATTTGTGTTTGACATGCCTTAATGATCTCTTTATGTGCAATGTAAAAAATGGTGAAAAGTTATGGGCGGCTTTAGGCGATGATGACTGAGTGGAGGGAGATAATTGTTTACAAAACTGATCTTAAACATAACCATAATAACCAGAGCCTTACTTTCATAGCATTTGGGTGGTACATATATTTAATGAAGCATTTACTGCAAGAAAGAATTTCATACTTGGCAAAGATTCCAACATGAGCTCTGGATCTTATTAATGATAAACTCAAAACACCTTTGTTTTATGCTAGCCATAAAAATGAGTATATTTAAAGATTTTATTTTAGAAATACCCTGTTAAAATAACTGCTGTAGTGTCAAAAAATCCTTCAATATGAACCACCTTTAATCTTTAATCAATGTTGCTGACATTGAATTGACCTTGAACCTGAGGTTGCTCTTCAGTAAAAGAAAATCCTCCAGATCTCTGGTCTGCATTCTGCTGCTCAACACTCTGCACGGATCAGTGCCGTCCGATTATTTTGCTGGATGTGAATTTAAAAGGTCAAATGATATTCTGTAGGCTTGAAAAAACCCGGAAAAAAACAAACAAAACTGGCTCCTGATCAGACTTGATACATTTAGCTGACTTTAATTTTAAAATTTCCCCACAATCGTTTGCATTCTGATTTCTATTGAGAAAAAATATATTTTTGTTCTCAACTCTTGGCTTATTTACCTTTACCTGATCATGAATCTTTATCAAAATATTTTTTAACCCATTGCACATCATGTTTGTGAGTCATGCAGTCCAGTGCAAGACTCTGGGAAACAGAACATAAATAAATGATTTTCACGGCTGCAGAGAGTAAACAGGCGACAAGCCTGAGCAGATAGAAACTACTTTTTAACTTCTCATAAATAATTAATTTTATGATGAAAGGATAATTTCTTTAATCTGAACTGAGAAGAGTTATGGGCCACAGACTCAAGTTGAGTCTCAGGGCAGAAAAGTTGAAGTCTGCGGTGCAAAGCTCTGGTGTGTGACCTGCTGGGCTGATGCAGGTTTTCAGAACATGTAAATAAAAAAGGCTTTCACTCCAAAATGTGCCTGCTTTTAGTAAAATTGTTCAGCATACTTAAAGTTAGGATTTGTGTTTTTTAAGAGATAATTAAAATATATTTGTTATAGATTTGTCGACACTGGAGTACAACAGGTTTTATTTTTTGCATAGTTTCCATTGACATAGTGGGATCTTTACTTTTAAATTGTATTTCTTTGTTAAAGCTTCTAGCAGTGTTAAGAGGATCTGGTGCAAAGTTCTTTTATAGACCCTTTCATCATAATATTTATTAGACGTGATAATGAAAACGTTAATATGTTAGTGAATACATGAAGAACAACAGGCAGGCAGACTGCAGCTCCTGCTGTCACAGACCAATCATGCTGCCAAAAGCCAGATCAGGAACACAACACCGGTCCCACATTTGACCACTTTAATCCTCTCTAGTGTCAGCCCAAAGCCACAGAGCTCTTCGTTTACACTCCTCTGCTGATGAAAAACATTAAGTAAATTGTGTTTTATAAATCCTTTGAAGTACAAAATGCTTCTCTCCTTCTCTAAATATGGTCACTTTTGGTTTCAAAAAACAAAACAGTTGCAGTTAAAGTGCCAATGGTATATCATGGTATGCTATTAACCAATGGATGATGTCTACGTCCACGTCATTTACAATGTCAGTGCTTTTGAGTCCATAGAAGGATATTACAGCATATTTGAGAAATTTGAGTTGCAAATGCAGCTGTCTCTGAATCACTTAGAGACTTTATCCATACAAAGTCACAAAAGACAAAGTCAGAACATCATATGCAGCATCCTTCAGTAACATGTTCCATTGTAGAGGAAATTAGGCCAACATGGCGTCAGCGTGTCAGACAAAGGCTTTGTTATAGAGAGAGAGAGAGAGAGAGAGTGAGAGAGAGCCAGAGACCGAGAGAGAGAGAGAGAGAGAGAGAGAGATTGTGAGAGAGAGATATGGACGACAGATTAACATCCTCTCTTGCTGCAGAAACATAGATGTAATCCGTCCATCCTCCCAGTGGAGAGATGGACGGATTATAGAGACAGTTACACGGTCTCACACACACACACACACACACACACACACACACACACACACACACACACACACACACACACACACACACACACACACACACACATTGAGTTAAATCATCAAACATTGATGGAGCTGTTGTTCTTGGTTAATATTACTGCTGCCTTAATGTGTAAGGTGCATTTTAATGCTGTAGAAGTCTAAGGTATTGCTTATCAGGTCATGATATGTTTGTAGAGTTCGTCTCGTGTCAGAAATGTTTTTTCTTGAATAAAAGGGATCGTTTTTTTACTCACACACATGATTTGTTTATCTTTTTCAATATTACCCAGTGAAACATAACATTTAAGCAGATCAGGACACTTTGATTAATCGATTACCTTTTCTTCTGCAGGTTTATGCGATCTTGGTCAGTCACCCTCCTCAGTCCAATGACCACCTGACTCCAACACCTGTGTCCTACACTGCAGGTTTTTACCGGATCCCTGTGGTCGGTCTGACGACACGCATGTCAATCTACTCTGACAAGGTAACTTTTATTTTCACACCTGCAGCAGCTTCCTGACGGCTAACTTCCACCAGATGTGTGTCCGGTCCGTCTCCGCTCTGGTCCGGCAGCGGAGGTGATAGGTTTTCATTTTATTCAATGTGTGTGCTTCCACCGGGTCTGCTGCGTCTTATAAACACTCCCTTTGAGCGGTTCAGAAAAAATGACCGTTTGTGTGTTTGTTTATGTGTTTATAAGGTTTATGTAAAGTTTTATACCACATACATCGTATTATCTTGCACTGTCGCCAGTTAGTTTGTTTAATTATCGTGGGAATTCCTTTGTCTTGGCACTCCAGCTGACGGCTGCGTTCTCCGTGCTGCGGACGGAGAATGCAGCGGGTGTGTGTTGACGTTCGAGGGTGCACGCAGCCGAAATGGACCTGAGCGGACACGCAATGCACACTTATCTGGTGGAAGTTCGGTATGAGACTCCCTTGATCGGGTTGATACTTTAAAAACTTAACTGAAATACAGGTTCCTGTCTAGTACCAAAGCAGAAGGTATAAAGAGATGCACTTACATATTGAAACATGAAACATTAGCTTGTGTTTTCTTTAACAATATAATCTGATAGAGAACATCAGCAGATCTCTTGTTCAGAACAGAGTTCACTTAATAAAATGTAGAAACCTGACCCTGGCAGGTGTGTTCAGAGTAACAGTCCTGTGTTGTCTTTAGGCTCTGCTGAGTGCAGGTTGTACAATATTGAGTCAAGTTTGTCCCAGTTCAGAGACACTCTCAGCTGTGTGACTGAACTGGAAACCACTCAGGGTCTCTCTAAGCTTTACAATATTGATGAAATAATTCAGTGTTATCAGTCCCAGAATATCCAGCACTCCCAGCCAGCAGCGCTCCAGTTCCTCTCCAGTTTATTCCACAGGATTCAGAGAAGTGATGAAAAATTCAAGTCTTTGTTGGTCAGGATTTCAGTCATGTAAGTGTATGATACAAATGCATTTATAGCAAGTCTTACTCATGTTTGGTAGTGAGGTGCAAAGTAGAGGGGAGTGTATTTGGTCTTTTGATTAATCAGAGGTGGGTTTTTTGGTGTAACTCGAAACAAAACAGTGTGTAAAGTTCCATTAATCAGGTGCTACTGGTTCTGTCACATTGCTTTATATAAGATTTGGGCCTTTTTAAAACAAAACCCAATATCCAATATTTATCATGTCTGTGTGTCTACTGCCTAACATACAAAACAAATAGAAATAAGCATTGATGTATTCTTTGCTGGATCACATAGTTATATTCTCTGTCCCTTGCTAAAAGGCTATTGGAGAGTCAATAGTAATACTTGAGGGCAAGATTTAATGGTGCTTATGATTGAGGCAAATTTACCTCTTTGTAATGTTTGCCTGTGTGTGCACAGTGTGTGTCTGTGCGTGCATTTGTGTGTATCACGAGCGTGAGAAGCAGATATTTCGGTGTTCAGCCTTAGGCTGGAGTTTTTGGTTCCTATCTGCCGTCACATAGCAATGCAGTAGATCTGCATGACATAGGGTTTAAGCATCACAAATGTGATTGTGTTCTTGTGCAATAATAAAATCACAGGATGCAAAATGACAAGACTACTTTTCTGTTGCTTGATGCAAAAGGAAAAGAAAATCTCTGCATGTCATATGACTGTGAACAAGTATGTTACACTGCTGCAGTTACAGGTCCTGTTGGTGGAGGGCTGTAAGCAGATATTAAATTATGTGAGGTCTATTTAAAGTGTTTGTATTACTTTTATCTGCGACACTTCATCCCGTTGCTGGTTAATGCTGTGACTATGTCTATGGGCTGCTAATGAAGCAGAGGCTCTGGCAAATGTTAACTTTTAAGTGTCTATACCTGCAGTGCACATACAGTGTAGTGTTGTGTGAGTCGATAGAGCTATTGCTTTAAGCGTTTGTGTAACAGGACAGTCACATAGATTAAATGTTTTTTAATATGTTTTAAACTGGGTTATTGACATATCATTAACCCAGTTGTGACCCTCAAGTCTAATTGTATATAAGTATATACCCATGTGTTTGGCAAAAGAAGGACTGTTTAAAAAAACAAATGAACAATAACCCAAATGTTCCAGATAATTGAAAGTATGATTCGTATTGTTTTATTGAACACTTGCACTCATACTGCACCTATCTGGTATTGTTTTGCTCTATGTTATTTATTCCACAGTATTGGAGAAAAAGGTATCACAATGTCAGGTTTTACCAATTTTGGGCAGCCCCTCAATGCACCACCAATGCATCTGAGCATTGGTGTTGTGTGCAGGTACATTTGCTGCTTACACAACATTGGCTCTGAAAATGTCATCTGATGTAAACAAGCAATGACAGTTGCATTGCCCTGCACACCAATTTGCACCAGTGTAATAGGGCCCAGAGTGTTGGATTTTTCTCACCAACAGCAGCTGTTCACTCAGATTGTCGCCTAATTCATAAATTAAAAGGTTAAAGGATCAGGTCACAAATTAGAAACAAAGCAGAATAAGACCTTCCCTGTCTTCCCTCCAGTGGTATCTGTTCATCATGCATATAGTTCTGGTTTAATTTGGCATGTCAGTTTTATTTATACAGCCTGAATTCACACATGCAATGACAGTTGCATGCCCTGCACACCAATTTGCACCAGTGTAATAGGGCCCAGAGTGTTGGATTTTTCTCACCAACAGCAGCTGTTCACTCAGATTGTCGCCTAATTCATAAATTAAAAGGTTAAAGGATCAGGTCACAAATTAGAAACAAAGCAGAATAAGACCTTCCCTGTCTTCCCTCCAGTGGTATCTGTTCATCATGCATATAGTTCTGGTTTAATTTGGCATGTCAGTTTTATTTATACAGCCTGAATTCACACATGACAAATACCCCTCAGAGGGTTTCACACTGACTCATTTGTCTTCACAAGCAAGTGTCATGATTGTGAGTTAGGGGTGGGAAAAAACTCCATTCACTTAATTGTTTTTTTTTTTATTGGAAGATTTATTTATTTATTTATTTTTTCTGGGATCAATAATCGTAACGTCATATCTGTTTACAGAAGAAACAGCTGACGTTAACTTAGGGCGGCCAAAAGAGAAAAATAGCAAACAATGACTAATCCTTGTTTTCTCAAAAGTCCAGAGTGTTTCAGGTCATTAAAAACATTATTACTCTTTGTCATCCTCATCAGACTTTGACTGAACTGGATGATAAACGAAGGAAGATTTACAAAGGGGGAGTTACCATTATTTGTTCCATCGTAACTGAAAGAAAATAACCAGTGCCGGTTTGATATCTGTGATCACTTTCAGTTTTGAGAAAGTGAGATAGGTAGCCAAGTGGGATAGTATGCCTATTAGCTTATGAGCCTATGTAATGAACATTCAGTCTTATTGGAAAGACTTCAAAACGTAAATGCTCTATAGCCATGACATCTGACTCTCAACAGTCGCAGTGTCAGTCAATGTGGATGAGATCAATGAAGGAAAGTTGTCTTAAAAGCACTAACACACTGCAAGCTCATCCAGAGACATGTAGATCGCCTACTGACCATCTATCTCCATCCTATAATCCAACCAGATCATCAAGAATAGTGAATTTTCTTTAACAAAATCAAAAACCCATAGTTTTCATAATAGGTTGTATTGGTCCACACCATCCATAATATGTTTGCACTATAAGAGCAGCATGCTATACGCACATGTGTCAGTTAAAATATTCAAAGACGGTAGTCCTGAAAAGATTTCAAAACACCATTGTGAGATCACCCAGTGAAACAATGCCCTTTCCAACCAGTCCTTCTAAAGAAAATGGGATTAACATGGGATTTACTGAACAACCTGTCTATTTTAATCCACACTAGTTTAAGATGAATAATTACTGGATGTGCTTTAACTTCTTTAGCAAGTTTGAAAGACAGACTTTGCAAAGGTAACACAGAACCAAGGAGGAGCCCTCCTCGATCAGTTGGTCGTTGCAATTTACTGAGATGTTTTGGGGGGTTGTTAACCATTCCATATAAATGTTTTGATGATACTATCTCACATACAAAATTCAATCTCCAATGGAAGAGAAAGGATGAGGTAATTTAATTTAGGAACACATTCTTTGAGACTCACCAACCTATTAACATCAACCAATTCTTTTAATTAAGGGGGAATATTACTTACTTACTTACTCCTCTTCGTCCCCTGTGGGACATAAGGCTTCAATAAGCACTCTCCATTGCATTCGGTCCCTGGCAGCATGTTGGGCCTCTCCCCATGACAGGTTCATCTGTTCCAGCTCTTGTGTCACAGTTCTGCGCCAGGTGGTTTTTGGCCTCCCAGGTTTCCTTTTGCCTGGTGGTGTACATCTTAAGGCGACTTTTGTGATGCGGTCCTGCTCCATCCTCAATACATGTCCTAGCCATCTCAGGCATCTGTGCGTAATCTCCTTGGTGATGCTCTGGCTTCCCATTTTTTTGTAAAGGTCATTGTTGGAGATCTTATTAGGCCAAAAGATCTGGCATATTCGTCGGAGGCAGCTATTATGGAACACTTCCATTCTCCTCATGTCTTTTTTGACAACTCGCCAGCTCTCTGAACCGTACAGAAGAACAGACTTTACATTGCTGTTGTATGGGAGCATCTTTGTTTTAAGGCTGTATTGTTTTGATCTCCAGATGGGACGGAGTTGGGAGAAGGCCCCCTGTGCCTTTCCCAGCCTTGCTTTGATGTCTTTTGACGCCCCGCTGTCCTTACTGATGAGACTGCCCAGATAGGTGAAATCTTCCACAAACTGAAGTGGTTCCTCATTAACAAGGATGGGTGCTGTGGGGATGGAGTTGACACACATCACTTGTGTTTTGGAGGTGTTGATACCGTGCCCAACTTGTCTGGCAAAGTTGTTCAGCCAATCAGTTTTAGCCTGCATGTTGTACTGGTTAGTTGATAGGAGAGCAAGATCGTCAGCGAAGTCAAGGCCTTCCAGCTGGGAGAACAGAGTCCACTGGATGCCTCTGGGTCTGTCTGCTGTGGTGTTGGTTGTGATCCAGTCTATGGCGACCAGGAAGAGGATAGGGGAGATGATGTACCCCTGTCTCACTCCGGATTGCACAGAAAACCACTCAGAGAGGTCATTTCCCATGATGACACTACACTCAAAATGTTCATAGAATGTTTTTATGATTGAGATGATCTTTGATGGTATTCCATAGGAGTGCAGTATCTTCCAGAGGGTGTTTCAGTGGACACTGTTGAAGGCCTTCCTGAAGTCCACGAAGTTGATGTGGAGGGGTGTGTTCCATTCCAAGCACTGCTCTATGATGTTACGCAGAGCAAAGATCGGGGGGGGGGGGATATAATGCCTAAATATATGATGCCTTGTTTAGGCCACTGAAGAGCACCTGGTTGAAAGGCTGTACAGGGGAAACTACTGTTAGTGGGAGTGCTTCTGAGTTGGACCGGTTTGAAAAAGAATCAATGGTCCTAAGTAGGCAAGATACCGATATGCCAGGGTCTGACACAAATAATAATACGTCGTCTGCATAGAGCATAACTTTATGCACCTGTTCCCCTGCCAGGACACCTGGGAGGTCAGTCGCGAGTGTTTGTTAAGTGTTTATTCAGCCGCTCTGTGTGCTACTACTAGAGACGTCTCAACCCATAGGGAATGGCCCTACTCCAGGCAATCAATCACATACTAGATGGGGTGAGACTCGTCACCCACTTAACCAAGAAGACAGATGCCTGTCAGATGATCATCACAGAGAATTGAATTTGAAGGAACCGATCACCTGGATGTTACAGCTGAGTGTTTGATAGACAGTAAACAACAACAAAACTTTTTGATAAAAAAGCAAAGACTGGATGACTAGTGTGCATGATTTTTGGAAATATTTCTCATATTGTAATTTCTCTCTTATTGTGTGATACCACTCCTGTTTTTGTGTCAAAAGGAAAATAAAATAAGCAATACTATCAAATGATTTTTCTCAGACTTGAACTTACTTTATTCCTACCAGCACAGGCTGCTTCAAGTGCTGCTGCAGTCTGATCCTATCGAGTCACACAAGGAATGAAAGAATAAGGAGTACTTATAGTCATGTCTCTAGTATCGTGGTCCATCACTCACAGAATTTGTGCCTTCAGACACATTTTGTTGCAACATATTGGTTTTTTTTCTAAATAAAAAAAATTCTTGGTTACAAGCTTTATTCTTGTTGTTGTTGTTTCTGTACAGAGCATCCATCTCTCGTTCCTGAGGACTGTGCCTCCGTACTCCCACCAGGCTCACGTCTGGTTTGACCTGATGAGAGAGTTCAGGTGGAACCACATCATCCTGATTGTCAGCGACGACCACGAGGGCCGAGCTGCTCAGAAGAGACTTGAAACGCTGCTGGAGGAGAGAGAGACCAAGGTCAGTTAGGAACACAGACACACACACACACGCACACACACACGCACACACACGCACACACACACACACACACACACACACACACACACACACACACACACACACACACACACACACACACACACACACACACACACACACACACACACACACACACACACACACACATACACAGTCCATGTGAGGACGTGTGTGCTGCAAGTCATGTCTGTTTATGTAACAAAGTGTTGTGCTCATCCAGGTGTGTGTGTATGTGTGTCTTATCAGTTCATTCCTCCACCCACCAGACTGCAGGTTCACTTCTACAACCCCTTTCATCTTTAAATAAAGATAAATAAATAATTCTCATAATAATTATGTTCACGAACAACAACAAAAATCACAAATTTAACCCACAAAACACTTATTGGTAGCTAAAATGATGTAGTTCAGATTGTGATTCAAGGCTGCCAACAGATCTCAAATGTGTTGCTACAGTAAAAGACAAAATTGAAGTTTGTATTGAACCAAGAACATCCAGTAATGTGTCAGATAAACACCTGTGCGTGTGTGGCACTGACAAACATTATTATTCTCTTCCTCCAGCTAAATTAATTTTTTAATTGTGTTCATTTATCCTTTGATTAAAAAGGATACATCAGGGTACGCAGTAGGGCTGCACGATATTGAAAAAAAATGACATTGCAATATTTTTGTTTCCTGCGATATATATTGCAATATTTTAGAAATTTTACTGCTTCACTCTGTTCAGCTGAATTCTCCTTGACTTTCCCTGAAATGATGATTACAGACTCTCACCTGTCTGCCTCTGTCTCTCTCTGCCTCCGTGAACACTATTTGCGTTTGCAAAGAGTCTTAGTCATGTTGATATCTGTTAATTAGCCTATTGATATTGATCTATAATATTTCCTGCAAGTGATTCTTCTCACATTCTTGTCAGACTTTTTAATAATGCGCTCATGCACTGAGGTTCCATCATTTAAGTTTCCCTCCGCGACCAAATAATATTATGGGGATATTTATTAAATATATTAACGTGCTGCGCCCTTCCAGCCTGTGCACGAGTGCAAGAGAGACACACAGCGGGAGCGCGCAAGTACATACAGGCTGAGCAGACGCGCAATGGCTCACAGAGTTTGTCCTCCTCCTGCGTTTTGTCTTTTTTGTAGGCTTGAGTAATCAGTTGCCAGAGATGTGAATCAATGAAAAGTAATGTTTAGAAACATTTCAGTTTATATGAAATCGTAAGGCGTGGGAAGGAGGATGTGAAATAAACAATAAAATGGGCTATCAGAAGATCAAAACTTGATCTGACTGAAGACAAAGTTGAACGCACAGATCTGGAGGCCGCTGCTTTAACCCCGAAAGTGTTAAATATAGCCCCTTATGTGATATTAACTATAAGCAAACTGTCAGATTGTCAAAATCCCTGCTATGCTCCGCTCACATTCACCGTTCTCTCTCTCTCAGTCGCTCGACCACTCATGCTGCACATTGCTCTGCCCGCCCCAAGCAGGTGAGATGACATAGCGCTGAGGTGTTCTAACTATGCGAGTTGTTGCATGTAATGTGGTAAAATATATAAATGTATGCTCATTTAGATATATTGTTAATGTGAATGGGCTTAGATAGGCTACATAAACTTAATTGAAAGGCTCAAATATCTTTTTCGGCTCCAGATGGATTTTTTATTTTCATTTCTTCACATCGCATGTGCTGAGGTGTGACTATGCATGCGCACATCACGATGACGATGCTGAAACGATATATCGTGCAGCCCTACTATGCAGTGTCTTTCAGTAAAAAACAGCAGAACTGTTCCGCAGGAGTTTCAGCTACAGAAATAACTGGTTGAGAAAATATCATAAGAAGCTGAATAAAATCATGTCTTACTGAGTTGAAAGATATGTTTTATCTTTCTAGATAAAAAAAAAAAACATTTATTCCAAAAGGAATTTGGCATTTATTTTTTTCTTATGCCATTTTTTAATTTTCAAACATCCTCATCATTTGCAATAGTAAAAAAGGCTTTGCTGATCTGATCCCTGGTGGTTTTGGATGTAATACCCCAATTCACCACTGTAGTAGACGTCATATGAAAGCAGCAGACTAACTCAAGTTGTTAGTTAAATGGATTTTATTTATTTTCTTGTAAGACTTATCTATTCAGTTAATGTTTGGACAATTACCAGGTGGAGCAAGCCTTAAGTGCTTATGACAAGGTAGCCATTTTTCCTTAATTGAAAAAGATTAAGCTACAAGGAAGTACTGACCACTGATCACCACTACCAGCAGGCAGCATGCTTAGTCATCCAACATGTCCACATGCTGTTTCCAGCCTGTTCCAGCATCAGTTCGTCTCCTCATAAGTTTTCCTGATAATAAGAACAGCCTTTATGTAAGGACAATATCTGTGTACTCAAAAGCCACAGTCAATACATTACATTAAGTCTTCTGAAGTAAAATAATTGAACAACCAATAGTCACAGATGCATAGATATCAACCAATCATAGGTGCTGTATGGGATCATGTGTATGAAGGCAAATCACATTTTTTAGCTCTGAGGTTTGCTGGATCACTCAGGCTCAACGACTGTTTATAGAACTGAAACTGCTCTCTGTTCATCCCCCCATCATCCTCCTGGCTTCAATATTCTTCTAACGGCTTCTCCTCCATCACTGTCTTTTTTTCTTCTCTGTTCTTTTTTAATCTCCACCAAGTGTTTTTGTGTGTTGAATCTGTGCAGCGTGTTAGTCAGGAGGATATGTGAGGATCTTGTTTTGATGTTTACATGGATCATAGAAAAAAGCTGTTTCTTCAATTCTGTGTTTCTCAAACAGTATCAATGTTTCACCTCGGGTCTTTGGAGGATGTGGGGTCTTGATTTTTGTTGTCAGATCCCTGAATTTTGTAAGTTACAATGTTGAATCTGTAATACCAGCATGACATTTCTGGTTTTACACAGTTTCAACTGTTGTCATAGCGACAAGTCCTTAAACTCAGCCTGTTACACTGTAGCTTATTTACATTAAGCTGACCAATGTGTTTACTTTGAAAATGAATGGGACTTTCATGAAATACTGTTAATACAGCAACAAAAACAACATCCAGAATTTTCATTTTTTTACTTTGTTGAAGACGCAGTGTGTGGATACGTTAGACCTTTGCACCTTCATCGATTTTCCGTAAGTGATTCGTATGCGAGTATTTCCTTTGGATTCTGCCTGTGTGGAGGAGTCCAGTGAATTATTTTTTAAATATTTTGATCGAGTTAACAATATTTTATGGCAGGATTAGGAGAGGGCTTACAACCTGGACTGATGAGGGTCCTCTAAAAAACAGGTTAAAACTGGTTGCAACTGAGGCAGACTCAGTAGCGTACAGTGGTAGGAAGATTTTTTTGTGGCGGTTCCACAAGTGTGCAATGTCACGGGAAAGCTATGAATTGTTTGACTGGACAGTGTCCAGGAAACTTAACCAGACATTCATCCACAGTCACTTGGGGGCCTGGATTGGAAAGCACGTGTCATCGCTTTTTTTAAAGATCATAAAGCAAACCAAATGATGTCAACCATTCATTCAGGGAAATTAAACTTTGATTGGAGTCAAATAGACTCCAGGATAAGAGGCCGATCAACAGGATATGATAGATTGTGATCCTGGAGAAGCATCAGGAAAAAAAAACTGTAGGGTAGTGTGCAAGTAAATATGCTTGTTTTGCTATTTAAAACAGCACATTGTGTATATTTACATTTGTTTATATTGTTTATATCTTCAAGTCCCTGCGCTTTGTACACAGCTTATTATTCTAGTCTCACTTGGTACTTTTTTATTGCTTATTTTATTATCTCTATTCTATTTCATTTTTACATTCTTACATTTATTTCTATATTTCCTAATGCTATATTGTGTATAAGAGCAAATGTAACAACTGAATGTCCCCCTGGTATTAATGAAGTAACTCTGATTCTGAAACATGGTGGGAGATTTCTTAACAGGTTAAAAAATAGAATCACAAAACAATTCTGAAGATATTCAGTGAGTAAGAACATTCTGTCATGTATCACTTAATCATTTTGAGATTTCAGTTAAATACGTTCTATAAAAGTTTTTTCCGTGCAGTCTTGGTGGAGTTTCTTTTCTTTTCCAAGTTTTCTTTTTTTGGCTTTGGTTATTCTCATTCTCCAGTTTAAAAACAGACTTATTTTACTTCCTTTTGCTCTCTTTGCCTCTCTCTGTCTGTCTTTCTGTCTGTCCATGTCATCTTTCAGTTCTTTACCACCATCTGTTGTCTGGCTTCTCATCACCTCGACAATAAAGGAGCTCGGAGTTGGAGCCGTGCAAACACATCTCAGCTGTTTCTGTCTTAGCTGTCAACCCACCTCATTGTTAAAGCAACTGTCTGTCTGCCTGTCGTTCTACAGACAGACGGGCAGACAGCATATATATCAGCTTTGTTCCCTCTGTGATGTATCAAAGCGTCAGAGTGTTTCTACTGAGTGCAGAAAGAAGAAAACAAGGTCTATACAGTAGTGACAAATCCCTTATTAGTTAATCAATCTAAATGTCTTAACAAGTACGTCCACCAAAAGTTCTTGTTTTTGCCCCTGACAGGCTCAGATTGTACATCCAAATGTCTGACAACATGACCAAACAAGTTTATTGAGATTCACCTGAAGTTGTTTTTCTTAATCAGAAACAGTCCTTACATTTTACTTTTCAAGTCCTTGCAGAGTATGAGAGCTCTGCTGTGCAATAGGTTGTTATGTTTTGTGTTATGGTGTGACTGTGGGGTTTTAAATGGTTTCCTTTTCAACTCAATATTTGTTTAACAGAATAGTTTAAGAATAAATAAATGATAGTCATTACAGACCAAGTTTGCATCGAAGCTGAGAAAATCTTCTTGCCTAATTCTCAAACCTTTTTTTTTTTTACCTAATATTCATTTAGACCCTTATGTTCAAACTGCGCAAAGGTTTGTTGATGCCCTCTTGATCACCCCAATGATGTCCTGGATCTCACTTGCCCAGCTATTCCATCGTTTGGTTGGTTGGTTGGTGGTTGGTTGGTTGGTTGTATTGTGGGGGGCATTGTGGGCCGTGTGGTATGGTAGTGAATATGAGTGTTGACAATACCTAGAAGCTTGCATAAATGGAGCCTTGGTCTGTAATAGGGGGCAATGCCGTTTATGGCGGTCATAAAGGTCCATGTGGCAGAGAAGGTAGTACAGGATCTGTGTTGTCAATACCTGGAGCGTGCATAAACATCTATTGGTGGTGTCAGTTCTATTTGGGATGCAATGGCCACAAAGCACCATGTCATCAATGTCTGTAGGCAGTCAACAACTGACTGTCAAATCAAATAAAGTCAGAGAACAACATTTATTATAACTTAGAGGGTACTCCGATAATAAAATAAATTATTTTCATGTTTCAAGTAAAAGGAGGTGTGTATTTAAAAACAAAATACATAACAGACATCTCTTAAAAAGTTTAATAAAGATTGCTTGATTTTAGATAATTATGCTTAAACGGTCTCATTGCTGCATTTGAATTTCCCTTGGAATCAATAAAGTAGCTATCTATCTATCTATCTATCTATCTATCTATCTATCTATCTATCTATCCATCTCTCTATCTATCTATCATCTATCCATCTCTCTATCCATCTATCTATCTATCCATCTATCTGTCTATCTATCTATCTATCTATCTGTCTATCTATCTATCTATCTATCTATCCGTCTATCTATCTATCTATCTATCTATCTGTCTATCTATCTATCTATCTGTCTATCTATCTATCTATCTATCTATCTATCTATCTATCTATCTATCTATCTATCCTATCTATCTATCTATCTCTCTATCCTATCATCCATCTATCTATCTATCTATCTATCTATCTATCTATCTATCTATCTATCTATCTATCTATCTATCTATCTATCCATCTATCTATCTATCTATCATCTATCCGTCTATCTATCCATCTATCTGTCTATCCGTCTATCTGTCTATCTATCTATCTATCTATCTATCTATCTAAACTGTATGCATTCATTCCTCTCTGCTGCTGCTGTGGGCTTTTCTTCCAACAAACTGGAGAAACAACAACCTGTGAATTGATTTTTTAATCTTTCATATGTCGACATTTGTTTTCGTAAGAGCTTCTGTGAATACACGTCAGGCAACGTTTATTTGTACAGCACATTTCAGCAAGGCATTCAAAGTGCCTTACATAAGACTAAAAAGAAACACCAGAATATCAAGAGACAGAAGATGAATAGATAAGAATAAATATTTAACAATACATGTAAGTTGCAAAAACATCTTTGAATCTCTCAGAAATGGTAAAATCTCAAAATATAAATCTCTTTGTATTCTGTTGTCAGCTCATAATAATGATGCAACAACTATTAGTAAATACTTTCTACCAGCCTCCATCGTCATTCACTAATGAAAACTTCATAAGTCCTGATCTCCACTACTGAAATGGAATGAAAGACTTCTGGGATGTTCAATCTGCAGGAGAACAGCACTGACTCCACAGCAAATTAAAATCAGTGAAGCACACTGAAAGTAAAAATAAAACGCCGCTCAGATGAGACTAGAAAAGTTTGGGAAAGTAAAAATGTTGTTTCCTGTCTCATTGAGGAGCCACAGTGAGACTCATTAATGTTAGAGGAGAGCCATGAATATTACAGCACATTAGTTAAAGTAGGTGAACAGAACTGCAGCGCGCCTGTTGTTTCTGAATTAAACATCCATCTTATGTGATTCATAATGAAATAAAAATGAATATCGCTGCAGGCTGCTATACAGTTACTGCAGAAACACACTGTATGAAGACAACAAAGGAAAGTGTCTATGTTTGATCTTAACTGCAAAATCTTAAATTATTAATATTAACTAAACACTGGGGTAAGAGTTTTTTAAAATAAATGTTGAAAATAAGTTATTTGCAATAATTAAAACTTACCTTCACACACAGGTATGTAAATTGTAAATTTCCCCCTTGTGGGATTATCTTATCTTATCTTAGGTAGTTGAACAACAAATCTGAGGCATGTTCCATTTCTTACAGAACCAGCTTTTAAAATAAATTTAGCTTTAAACATGAATATTTCTGAAATAAAACATGCGATATGATCAGGGCAGTAACCAGGGTTTAGAAAATAGTGAGGTCCAGACTCTTATTGAAGTAAGAAATGATACCTTCAAATGCGCCCAAGCTTAACACCAAACCAACAGAAACTCACACACATGTTCTTCCTATTTGTAAAGTAAATGATCTGTGGATGATATGCGGGCGGAACCATTGTTATAAAAAAATATGACCAAGGTCCAGACCTCAGAATCCTCAGCTGATTACGGCCATGGACATGATCAGCGCCGTGCTTCTGTTACCAGTTATCTTCCCCTTTAGATTGAACTATTTTACTTCATCTAGTACGAGTCCTGATTACAGCGTGACACATAATGTTTTAGATGACTACACTGTGTCAACGATTGTAGCTAATTAGACTTTCAAATATTTAGTTAAAACTTCAAAAATGGCCCTTTATCTCACTAAATTCTCTTCTTTTGAGATGCAGGAAAAAGATCATGAAACTTTAAAATAGTTTTGATTAGATAAGAGCATGAACAGAGCAGCATGACATTATTACACGCTTAAGAGGTCTTCCAGTGATCTATGCAATGTCAGAGAGGAATGGCTGCTTAAACATATTTAATTAATATACATTTGGCTAATGCCTCCATCTTCTAATTTAAGGTGATTTGCACTGTAGCTGGAAAGCTAATATCTAGCATGCTGGCCAAGCAGGCAACTTGCTTCTGTCAGTCCTAGAGATGTTCATAATTATGTTCTACTGTTGGATAATCATTTAAACTGAGGTGTGTAGCCCATATAAACTGTGTGACCCTACAAGAAACAAATACTCAGATGTAGTAGCCATTACACATTACCAGGTCCAAACAGTCAGTCAAAGAAGAAGACAAAAGCTTCATAAAAGTGTTGTGTGAGTGTGCTGTTCAGGGACTTTAGGTCAGGATGTAAATTTAATGAGATTAACATTTGGAGCGGATTGAGTGGAGGACTAATGGGACGCTCTGCCGCCACACTGGCTTAGCATCAGAAGAAGAAGTTACCAGAGAGCAAAGTCACAGCTCAAGTCACAGCTCGGTACAGTGTGCTTCGATACAATCTCATTTGACAGAAAATGAGGCAGGTTGTATATACCACTGGCAACGCACTGAGGTTTATTTCATTTTAAAAGGCCTCTACTGACTCTTGTCTCGAATCTTTAGCTTCCAGCTTTTGTTCTTAAGTGGGGAGGTAATATAACATTTATTTGGCTTGAATTGTTCATCAAAGTAAATGCCTTGAATGGATCTAAGCATGTGCTTTGTGAAGTCTGAAGTGAATGCAAGATATGTGCGAAGACATGTACCTAAACGTTGTAAGACTGGTTAGCTAAACCCTGGTTTCCTAGTCGTGACTAATGTCAAACGTTTGAAGCATTATGGTTTTTAAACACTGATGCCTATGCTTACAGGTCCCATGTCATAATAATGATGATGCGAACAGAGCAAGACTCAAGCTAATATAATTTGGGACATGATATCTTGCTAATAAATGAGGATAAAGCGAACAGGTCATATCATGCTAAGGGATTAACATATTCTTCAAAGCGTGAGACTATCGGGGGAGGGGAGCATTTTAAGTAAGGAACATTAACTTAACAAAATTCCCTATTCTCTGCTAAATATTAAGCAAAGTATTGAATGTCTCCTAATTATGTATTAAGTGAACAAAGAATTAGTGACACAGTCCCAGTCTGTCTGATTTACATGTTGTTAAGCTGAAATAGACATATTTCCAGCTCTGTGGTTGGTGAATCAGCTTCAAAATGTTTGTGAGAACAAGCATCGTAGTTTGACAGGTTTTTTTGATTCGCTTTGAAAACTGATTATTTGGTTCTTTTGTTCTCCGAAAGCTCTAAAAATAGCACGCAGCCTGATCGGAGCAGCAGGCAGGTTTCTGATGTATTTTTATCGCCCAAACTAAATATATCTGAAGGAATAAACCGTGAGGTCACTGTGTTACACGGCATGGACAGACAGGCAGACAGTCTGTGATGTGTTTGGGCGCTCTGGCCTCCCTCTAGCCTCCTGATTCAAAGCAAAAAAAAAAAAAAAAAACTATCATTTTTTGAATGCTTTACTGCCCCCCATTTTTTCTGACTGTCTATAATCTTCTGTGTCTGCATATTTTCTCTGTGCACATTACCCATCAGACTAAAAACAGGAACTATGAAAACATCGACCAACAGAACTATGACTTCAGGAGAACACCCAAGGTATAAACTTGCATGGTCAAATGATGCACGCCGCCCAACCAATCTCTGAGCTCGCCCAGTAGTAGCAAAACACCAGTCAGCCCCACCCACCCAAAACCAACCCGGCTCCAGAGATAGACTCTTATCCTGGTGGCACGTCTTTTCTCCACCATCCTTTTTCTTTCTTTTGATTTTTCATGATTCCTGCACACTGGGAATGGGTTTACACTCGCAGGAGAGACACCCTTCCTCTTCCTTTCCCTCCTCTCCTCTTTCTCCTCCCTGAGTTTTTATTCCATGTGAAGGGTTGCATGCAGCCAGGCCTAGGCTAGGCTCTATCTGCAGATTTTAGGAACACCACCCACAAGGATCCTCTCACTCCTCTGCAGCATCAAACCTCCTTTTCTTTTACTTTTGGGAATTGAACCTGTTACTCCCCCCCTCTTCCTGTACTCCCCGCCTCCCTCCTCCACCCCCTCTGCCTTCTCTCCACTCAGATCTTTTTTTAATTTGCGGTTGCATCAGCGCGCTCTAACATGCACGTCCCTGATTGGTTGGTTGGTTGGTTGGTTGGTTGGAGTCTTGAAAGCGCCTCAGTTTGCATGTGCCACCACACCACCCACAACTTTTTGCCCTTCTTTGTATTCAAGCTTCGACTTTGATTTTTATTTCAGTTCAGCAGATCTTGAACACTTTTTGTCTCCTTTTTTTGCCCCGCCCTCCTCTGCCCGTGGTAGTGTGGGTGAGAGGGAGCATGGTCGAGGCTGGGGTCACAGGGGCAGGGAAATGGGGATTGGTGAGGGAGGGTATATGAACTGCAGAGCTAATAATGTGTGCTCTATGATGTTTCCTGTGTCGTGTTGTTCTGCCGTGTTTCTCAATGTCCTACGATGTGACCTGCCGCCCCGCTCTGTCAACTGTTGCACTTCATGGTGGTCCTCCAGGCGGAGAAGGTGCTGCTTTTCAGCCAGGACACCAACCTGACATCTCTGCTGCTGGAGGCCAAAGACTTGGAGGCTCGAGTCATTATCCTCTCTGCTAGGTTTGTATAAAAAAGGAATTAGATGTGGTTGCTAGGGTATTACAGGTATTTTATAGGGCCTTCTAATAGGTGATACCATTGTAGTCGGTATTTGGTCGCTAGGATTGTCTTTGTAGCATCTTCTATGTTTTCTTAGGATGTAGATGGTTGAAGGGATACTGGGTAAGAAAAAGTAAATTGATCTTCTCCGTCTCTTGTTCTGGCTGTTTCAAAGCCATATTTGGACTAGAGGGTTGAACAAGTTGACACTCTGGCTAGCTTTGTAAGCAAGGTGCATCTGTATTTCATATTAACTGTTTGATCAGTTAGATTACCAATTTTGAAAAGCCAAAAGGTAAAAAAAAAAAAAAAAACTACCAAAACAGTAGCAGCCAACTCTGCTGTTGGCTTTACTATTCAAGCTCTTATACTTTTGATATGTATTGTTTTGATTTGTTTGCAATCATGTTTTATGTCTTTGTTATGGTGCCTTTGCATTGTGATGGTGTAACTTGGTACGAGGTTAGATTTTCATTAGTAATGCTTTACGTAATGGTTACGGAGAGTTACCACTAGATTTGCAGCTCTGTTTGTATAGTTGCACTGTGAATGAAAAAACCTAAATTTTACCTTCTGTGTGTTTGCAGCGAGGACGAAGCTGCGGCTGTGTATAAAGCAGCCCGTCAGCTCAACATGACTGGCTCTGGTTATGTCTGGCTGGTCGGAGAGCGAGAGATGACTGGCAAAGCTCTTAGTGAAGCCCCAGACGGTATGTTAACCTCTGCCTCCTCGTCCTCATCTCTCGTCTTCTTTGCTTTTCTTCCTTACTCCTCCAGAAGTTTTTCTCGGTCTCTATCTCTCAGCCCTGCTTCCATCCAACGCTCAAGATAATTCTCAGCCAAGGCTCAGAGTTTTGCATATCTTAAAACTCTGGTATAAGGAGGCATTTTCTATGATTTAAAGAACATTTATATGGGACATCACACATCTGATATCAAGACATAGCAGCAGCTCATAAGTAAAATAAAGACATTGCTTACTGAGAAAAAAATCTAAGTCTTCAGGAGCCTTAAGACTTTATGGCTGTATTTCTATATTTATATTTTTAGCTTTCAATTTTGAGACTGTACCTACTTCAGACTACACAGGATGTCATGCTGTTTAAAAAAAAGGTTCATGACTCAGTTCACATTCAACTCAATTCCTTTGCAATAAGCAGAATTTTCTGGGAAATGAGGAATCTGAATATAAAACGTAAAGCTGCAGAATAGTCAAAATCTTGCTGATGATAATGTTGACATTTTAAATACGCTGAGAAAATCTATTCCTGATGTCCATAGGACTTGATTTAACGATTAACGATTTGTAAGTGACAGTGCAGTGTTTTCCAGTGTGTGAAACAAGATATATAATGTATGATTTCAACTCCATGTCCATGTAGGACACCCCTGCATTCTGAAGAGGCTCTACCCCGAGGGCATACCAAAATAAGGGGTAGCGCTTTGGTGAATTGGATTGTCCCTCAAAGCTTTCAAAGAGGAATGGATTATTGAGCTTTACTGCTGCAAATCTTTTTTGAAGCATACATTTTTCCATTTGTAGTAGGTTTCTAGTTTTCTGATGTTGTTAGGGGGTTACTGTGTTGCTGTACGCAAGAATATTCAAGGACATCAGTTGTTTACTCAGTAAAAAAACAAGTGTAAAGACTACTGCTTTTTTGATGTTGCATTCTTCCTATCCAATCATGGCTTTAAAGTGTTTGGATGGAAACATGGCTGCTCTCCATATCTTTCTTTTCTCTAGTAGTGCTGTAGGTCTCTGATGACGGAAACTAATCCTCATCACAGCCATTTAGCTTCTCAGCGTCCTGGTGTGTTTCTCTTTCTGGTTTTCTTCTGACTGCTGGTTGAACGTTTAAACATCCCTTTAAAATAAAACATGTTTAAAGGTTCTTAACCACTGTTTTCTTTTCTGGCTCATTGTAACTGTGGCTTTAAATGTGTCTAACATCTTTTTGTTTGTTTCATCTTCTATAGTGTGTGTCGTCCGCCCGCCTGTCTGCCCGTTCTCACAGTAGACAAGCCAATAACATATGCTGCCGAACAGGGGGGTGGTCGGGGTTAAGCTTTATTCAGGTTCGGTGGGGTGGGGGTGGCTGTTGCTAATCAGCTAATATCGCTGCGGTTACCTTGACGTGTGTCTGAACGAACACTGGTAAGATGCCGCCGCTGCTTCTTGTTTCCTGCTTGATGCTTTGCCCTCTGCCATTGGTCAACAGAAGACCTGTCCACGGCAACACTGAACCTGCCCTGATAGAGAGGATGCGGGGGTTATTTTAACCAGCAGATTACTCAGTCAGCCAGAGGACTACGTCATGTATACACTGTTATACTTGGAGTATGTGCACAACTCTCTGCCATTGGACAGGGAAAAAAATTCCATGGAAAAGTATTTTTTAAGAAACCCCCAAACTTAAAGCAACACCAAATCACTAATTTCTGTTTGACCTCAACAGAGGTCGTCTAAATGGGAGAACATCAAGTGAAATAAATATACAGTATTTCTTCATACTATGTTCTCTAAAGTAAAAAGAAATGAATCAGAAACATTTTTGGTGATTTGGATGCTCAGCAGTGAAGTTACGATTGCTGAAGTAAAGGTACAACTATAACATTGTAAAGGCAGCTGAGAGTATTAGGACATTTAACAATTCGTTAATATAACTCTTTAATTTAACAAATTTCATTTGACTGGACAAACTCCAATCTTTGTTCAAACAGTCTATAAACTGATACTAAACCCTCATTATGTACATTTTAAACATTTCGTGGGTCTTTCTGGCTGCTGGGTAATGGGCTCCCCGCTCTGTTGCTGTGGCTTTTATTTTGAGATAACATCCTCACCAACCAGCTGATGCACTCTTAAAAAATGATGTGTCATTTTTCTACACATCTTTGTCCCTCCTGAGATCAAGATGTGTCAAAAAATGATCCATCATGTTCTTAAAAGTGTAGCCAGACTGCACTCTGAAAATATCCCTCAGCTGTTATGTCTCAGTTGGAGAAGTTTGAGGTTTCTTTTTAGGGAAACTGTTTCAGATTAAAGCCTTGACTTTATCTGAGCTTTAACTTTCATACATCTCTTCCATCGCTTATCCAGAGAGTTGTCAAAAACTCAAGGTTTACGTACTAGATTCCTGCAGAGCTCTCAGCCACATCTTTTAAAGGTTTTTGAGAACGAGGAGATGTGGCAGAAAGCTCCTAAAGATATCTTGTGTGGTGACCTTGAGTTGAACACTGCAGCAGAAAATTTTCATTATTAAATTCTGCACCACGCTTCAGGTTTAAATGGAAGATATTTGGATGAACCCAAACATTAGGTTGTGTTGTTTCTCACGATATGCTTTTGTCAGACGTCTTTTTGTCTTACAAAGAGAATGACAAGATAAAGGTCACAGGGTTGTACAAACGTAGGTTTAAAACTTGCATTGCTGGCTAAGATTAGCACACTAGACATCAATGATCGAGTAAGGCTCTTTAAGTTCAGTCTGGTTGAGGTCATGTAAGCTGTCAGACAAAGGTGAATGAACGAACCAAGTCTTAGTTGAACTTATTCACTACTTTCTAAGTTGAAGTTGTTATAATCTTCCATTTCTGCTTAACCAAAAGAGTTTTTGTTAGTTATTTAACTTTGTCATGTACCCAAGCCTAAGACAAATGACTGAAGACACGTTGACATGAGTTGGTGTGGAAAGAGGCTGCTCATATAGCTGAAGTATCTCATGATCTTGTTAATGAGCGAGGAATGGACTATCTTGGATTGTGAGATGGACAGCTGGATTAAAGCATCTGTAACTGTCAATTAAGTTCAAACTCTTTGCACTGGTCATAATCTTTCTAGTAGAGTTGAAAAGACTGATCACAGACTAGAAGACTTAGAGAAGGATGAGAAACTTGGACATCCAGGGGCAAACATGTAGCAGAGCCTCTTTACATTTTCCAAAGGATCTGGCTGAGGTGGTTTGGGTATCTGATCAGGATCCTCTTGCTGGCCTTCCTTTTGAGGTTTTCTGGGTAGAAGGGAGGAGACCCCAGGGTTGACCCAGAACACACTGGAGGGATTATGTGTATCATCTGGTCTGAGAATACTCCAGGAACCCCCAGAAGGAAAACATTGCTGACTAACCCAGATAAGTGGAAGATAGTGGTACACAGAAGTACACAGCCACCGATGCAGACAGTTTAAATCCAAGTAGAATCGAAGTAGTTCTGTAGATAAATGTAAGCGTTTTAAGACATACCGCAAACAGATTGGCAGTTGTTCTTAAAAACAAAAAAAGCAAATGGGACACTGCTAGATCTAGGATACTCCAGACCGGTTTAGCAAAAAGAACATACTGTATATATATAAGACCATTGGAGTGGACAGTTTTGTCAGGGACTTGTTTCCGCTGTGCAGTATCCTATGACCACTGTTTAATTTTATCTTCAGAGTTTATTTTGAATCAGCTGTTCTTTGTTCCTTGTTATGTAATATTATCATAAACACATGTAAATCAGGGTATGTGTTACCTTATTCATACTAAGAGTATGTGGACTGTGGCTGCAGAAGCCTTCAGGTACCAAGGCTGGAATGGTCTTTTCAAGGTTTCCTATAAAGTATTATAAACAGGACGTGAACAGAATTATTTATTCACCTGTAGCTGAAGTAGATACTACAGCTACTCGACAGCATTTCAGGTTAACAATTGTTAACAAAAACAGGGCCATTCAGGGGTTGCTTTTGGTTGCAGAGCTGTTGTGTTGGACTGCATTGGCCTATTCAAGTGCTGGTGTTATTATGTCCGCCCCCTCTATCTGTACAGTTTGATAGAATTGTGCACAGGTTGCTTCTAAAACGAATCCCTCAAAAGAAACCTATACAGCAGTACTGTGACATTATGGATTTTGATGTTGTTTTTTCTTCACCAGATGCTTGTCACATTATAAGAAAAGAGTGTCTGCATTTGGTGCTCTAACTTCCTTAACAACAGCTTGATAACACTGTTAGTATTTCCCATCCAAAGTACGTTGTGCTTCAGTGGAATTCATTCATTTTAATTACAAGCACAAGTGGACTGTAACCATCAGTTTTTACTCCAGCTATGCCCATCCTCCAATAAGGATGTGAGCTGACTGCGCCCATGTGTTTTAGTGATTAGGGAGACGGGGACATGTCAGTTAATTGTATTCAGGATGCTTGAGTGTTGGTCAATTGCGTTGGAAAAAGAGGTGAAACTTTCCACTCCTTTATAGTTGATGGGAGAATTGTAAGCTTATTGTGTTCAGGAGTTTAAGGTCAGGATGTTAGCTAAATTTCGTTCATGGAAGAGATGTGATTGGCCCACCAAAAGAAGTAGGCTAAAAGTAGTTGAAAATATTGGTTTTCAATACCCTGTGGTTTTAAACAAGCAGAAAAGATTACATAGTTTTTCTTTTATTTGAGGGAGGTAGCTGTAACTTACTTGGGAATAAAATAGAAAAAAAAAAACATTACTTATTATGGAAAATTTGAAAAAATGTGATAGATTTGTTTACTTGGTTGCTATCTGTAACCATAAGTTTAAGGTGGAAATGTCAATTGGCTTTACCATTGGTATTTCAGGATATTTAACCTAGTTGTTGTGTTGCCATTTGTTTGGATTGACGTTGAGTTGGCTGTTTCCAACAATTTCAATTGAAGTTGCTCATCCTTTTTGGTACTGTGAAGAAGCAACTGCTCTCTGGGGTTTCAGGGGTAAGTATTTGTGCTTTCAGCTGGAAGTTGCTTGTCTGTTTCTCTTACTTTTAAGGATGAATGATGGTAAATATATATATTTTTTGTCAGTGAAACCTAGTGGCATCCGTGGGAAACAGAATTTGCTATCGCCTAACACTGTTTTCCAAAGCTATTGTTCATGAGTTATTTCGCAGAAGTTTCTTTGGGGAATGCTAGCAGTGTTAGCAAGCTGTTGGAAATAAGCTGGAGGATGGATGCAGACACTTTCATCACTGTGTGACAAGTTTCTGCTGAAGAAAAACAACAGACACGGTTCATAACGTCTCAGTGAAGCTTATTCTGTCCTGAGAGACAAACGGCTGTGATTCTCAGAGTGAACTCCCAGCATGCAGTTTGGTATTACTGAACAATGAGATGACGCCTGAAGCCCTGATTGAGTGTGCCTGTATGCGTGAGAGTGTTTGAATGATTACACTGAAGCCCTCTTTTAGTTACATCTGTAAAATTAAAGTGAGTGTGAGAGTTTTTTTTAATTAACATGTCTGTACGAATGAGGGCACTTTCAGTCTGCAGCCTCATTAGCTCCCTGCTGTGTGTTTTACCGTTCTCTGCTGTGTGTGCGTGTGAATGTGTGTGTGTGTATGTTTTGTGTATGTATGTTTTGTGTGGTGTAGGCCTGCTTGGCCTCCAGCTGATTAACGGTAAAAACGAGTCGGCGCACATTGCGGACGCTGTTGCGGTGGTGGCTCAGTCCCTGCAGGAGCTTTTCGAGAAAGAGAACATCACAGAGCCGCCTCGGGGCTGCGTGGGAAACACCAACATCTGGAGGACTGGACCGCTCTTCAAACGGTCAGTACATCTATGACCCAGCCTACAGGTGAAATGGCCATCTGGAGCAGTGATGATGATGTAGTTACAGAACAAAGTTAAACTATCCTTTTTAAACTTTAGTTTTGTCCTTCTTTTATTTATTTTTTCTACAGAGTATTTATCTGTGAATCACTTTACTTCTTTATTTAAAACAAAAAAACACCTAAATAATTCAAAGCAAAGCTATGAATTGTGACTGACAATGGCAGGGAAACATCAGTCAGAGCAACTGGAGATTTTGAATGCTGTGTAAAAAGCTATGATTTGATCTGATTGTTCCATTGGCTGTTGCTCAGCAAGGGGTTTTTTTGGGGTGGTGACACAACAAATAAGCTCCTAACACACACCTTTGACCACAACTGGATCGAAGACCAGTCTATATATGCATTTCTTCTGGCAGTATTACAGCTGAGGCTTTTACTGACAACTTGGCCAATGAAATTAGAGGTTATGAGATCTAAGGCTTTATATCAACTGCAGTTACCACAGTCATGAGGCTAGTTACCTAATCTACTAGGGGGGCTTTTAGTATAAGTGTAAGTTTTCCAGATCACTTACTTACAGAACTGAGTTCCCGACTGGACAGTTTGTAGAGGCGGTGAAGAAAATGTTGTGTGACTGCTGTGCATTCAGCAGTTTATCCAGTTTGAGTTTCTGATCGTCAGCATGGAGTCCTTTCCTCCTCCTTCAGCTCCGGAATAAGAATCTGAGACGCTTCACTGATCTGATCTTGCTTCTACTGGAAGTTCTTCTGACACAACTGGGATAATGAACCTCTCTGTCACTGCTGCTCTCCTCTGTGTGACCCATATAGACCATCAAGTCCAGTCAAATCAGTTTTATTTATTTGCTCCACTATTACAGACAGTCCCACAGAAGCAGCGACAGCATCATGTGACATGTTCTCACTTTTAGTTGGGCATCCACATTTCCACTGAGCTGATCCTGACTCCACTGGTTTCTGATTGGCTCCTCAGGGTGTTGATGGCATCAAAGTACCCTGATGGTCTGACGGGACGAATTGAGTTTAACGATGATGGCGACCGACGCTTTGCTACCTACAGCATCTTGAACTACCAACAAAAACCAGGTCGCCTCATCCAGGTCGGAGTCTTCAACGGATCACAGGTACAGTACACCTGGTTACACCCGGTTATAAATCTGGTTTTTGACCTGATTACTTAAGGTTATTTATCTAGTAATACAACTGGTTATTCACCCAGTTAAACCTGGGGACTCATTTATAATACAATGCATAGCATCTAAACTAAAAGTGTTCATACATCAAAAACCCAGGAAATGGCACAGGCAAAACTTAAGTCGGATGCATAAAATCCTTCGTATGCACATCTGCAAGCAATGTTCGCTTGTTAAAACATGATCCACCTAAAAATGTGTGCAGCCTCACATTCTGCTCTCCACATTCAATGGTCAATGAAAAGCACGCCATGAATAAATATACGAACAAATGACCTGGAAGATCAAAAGTTTCCAGTGGTAAATTACAGCAACAACCTGAAGGATAGACTGTCGGATTCATTAATCAAGGTTTTTGTGAATCGAGTGGAGGTTATTAAATGTTTATTTTTGGTTTACTAAAAGCTTGAGGGTCACAAACAAAAGCGATTTTAGAGTCCTCCTGCAGTGCCAAAACATCTTCCGTTCATCATGACACACGTGTGTCATTCGCTCTGTGCTTCTTACAGCACAGTAATGTTTATTAAAACTAAAAAAACCTGGTCACACCTGGTTCTACGTTAAATTTACACACAATCACACCTGATTATTTATCTAGTTATAGACAGAGATATACAACTCATTAAACACCTTGTCAAACCTCATTATTAACCAAGTTGTACTTTTACTTAAACAGCCGTCACAACTGCATGAATACCTAAATAAATGAATCTAATCATTGACTTGTTTAAATTATTGGACTTGAGCTAAATCGATGCTTATATAACACTTTCCTAATCTTGGGACTACTCAAAGTGTTTTTACATTGCAGGTCACATCTACCCATTCACACACTGTTGGCAGAGGTTTTTTATCGAAAGTGACCGTCAGAAGTAACTAATCCCATTCATACACATTCAAACAGGTGAAGTGTCTTGCCTAAGGACACATCGGACACGTGGCTGCAGGAGCTGGGGATCGAACCCCCCAACCTTCCTGTTGAGAGACACCCAACTCTACCAACTGAGCCACAGCTGCCCCATGTACACCCCACATTGTTAAACCTGGTTTCACATTTGGATATTATATGTTCTTGGCTGCAGCTTGTTGAAAACCAAGATAAACACATGGTTATACTGTTCACATGGCCACACCTAAACACTCACTCTAAACAGACCTTTAGATCGCTCTGATAAAGAGTAAGATACTTTTATTTAACCAGAAACGGTTTCTACATCCCTATCTTCTCAGCCACCAGTCTCCATTGACAAAAACCCTAATTTCACTTTACAGGAAACCGAAGTTGCTGGTCTACCGATGTCTCAATTGGTTAGTTTGTTTGAGTTCTTGTGGTCACCCCTGGTCATACACTTGGCGCACCTGATCCTGCCTGGTTTAACAACTAGTTGAACACTGTGTCACACCTAAACACCTGATCACATTTGTGGTTACAAGGTTGATTCCACCTATTTTAGATATTGATATCTTGTCTTGGTTAGCCTTGAAAACAGTGAAAATATGTCAAACTTGGCCGTCTCCAAATGTGGGAGACTCTGATGAAAGTAACTACCAGGGTGCATTATGGGAAATTAAGGATTATGTGTTATTTATGCTAAAAGTCAAGCTAGCTTCATTAATTCGGCACATCCCTCACAAGTGCAACTTTCGTGTTATAGTGACTCACTGAGCACAACTTTTAATAGAGTCTGAATAAGTAAAATATCCTGACTGAAGCATCATTCACAGGTTTGTTTTGCAGAATCTTTACCAAGCTAACTGTGTGTGTGTACTAGTCCCTGGCCTGTTTAACTATTGATGCACGGATGCAGTATTGATGCTGTCATTTAGTCAGCTTGTCACAGTGAGACCTGTCTGGAACAACATGACAACCTGTGTGTGTACATGTGTGTGTTTCAGGTTGTGATGAACCCTCAGAGGAAGATCATTTGGCCAGGAGGAGAGACAGAGAAACCAGTAGGATACCAGATGTCAACTAAACTGAAGGTACTCTGTCTGCTCTTGTTTTGCTGCTATTAAACCGTGATCAGTGCAAGTCAATGGAAAATGTTGTGTGGAATGAATGATCGCCTCCCATCATGAACAGAAATAGATAAAACCTTATCAGGCATACTTTATTTATCTGTGGGGAAATTTGGTCATTACAGTAGCCTTTCAAACACAATATAACTATACCAAGGTACAATGAAAATTTGAATGGCTTCTCTACTGTGTAGTGAAGAAAAAACCTTAAACTTAATTACTTTATTGTATTATAAATATGTTTGAAAAACTGTCAAAACTAAAAAATAAGAAGTCTGGGCAGGAAGTCCTTCATCTCTAATCACTAGCTACACAGGACACCCTCACAAGTTTGTTATAGCTTTCATAGGCTACAACATCGCTAGACGACATTCGATGGGTTCTAAGATTGAACTCTAGATTATTTTATAGTTAAATTGATAATCTAACAGCATATTTTTCTTAAGTGAGGGATTGCAGTTGAATATGACATAAAGTCTCTTCTTTTCTGTCCAATCAGAAACACACAAAAGGCAAAAGGCAAATGGATAAGGAACCAGGACTAAACCTTTAGCCACTGTAACCCCCAGCAACTATAGTGAAAACATTTATTTATTAACCCACTAGTGGAAAGGTATCTTAGACCGATATATTGCAGGATAAAATACTGAGAGACTAATATTTGAACCAACACAAGCATACAAACCGAAATAAAAAGTTTCCTTACAGAGTTTAGGTCAAGATAACGACAGACGTCTGTACAGTTGGACTTCACACAGTTCTGGTCTGAAATTTCAGCAAAAAAGGGAAGTTAGGAATTTACACTATAAAACTTGTGAGTGTGTTTGTGTTTGTGTGCTTATTTCTGTGCAGATTGTGACGATCCATCAGGAGCCTTTTGTATATGTGAAGCCAACGAAGACTGACGGGACGTGTAAAGAGGAATACACTGTTAATGGAGTCTTAATCAAGAAGGTTATCTGTACTGGACCCAATGGGACCACCCCAGGTACTCACACTCGTTGTTTTTTTACACATACTTTTTAACCTCTTAAGGCACTAGGGTGGATGTAGACTGTCTTAATTTAACCCTTACTTTACACCATACATTCACCATAAAAGGTTAGTGGATAACATTACAGGAGCATGCACATATTCCCAAAAAGAAGGGAATTCCCCATAATGCATAAACAGACTTATGTCTTATTCTAAGAAAACAAATAAAAAACAAACTAACAAACAAAGTTACATTAGCGACACTAGTAGTTTGTTTTATTAAGAGTTTAAAAGTGGGTGATGAAATAAGGTTAGATTTAATTGCCTCCAGCTGTCATTCCATGTATTCAGTTCTTAATACACTGACACCAGCTTCCTTCCAGTGGAGACCGGTCCAAATAAATCTGCTTTGAATTTGGTAGAAAATGTTATGTTCATGTTTTAAACTTATGTTGAGGAGAAGCTGAGGCAAAAATATGTTTCACACCTTCAACCCTCCCAACTAGTCCTCACAAAAATACAAGCTCAGGACATGTCATTCCTAATTCCACTCTTGTGTGTGTGTGTGTGTGTGTGTGTGTGTTCCAGGTCAGCCCATTGTCCCTCAGTGTTGCTATGGTTTCTGCATCGATTTGCTCATCAAACTGGCGATGAGCATGAACTTCACCTATGAGGTTCATCTGGTGGCTGATGGAAAATTTGGCACGCAAGAGCGAGTGAGTATATTGCCTTTCCTTATTTAACAGACAGTTTCCCTCTAGGTTGTTGCCTCTCAGGCAACATACAGACACTTGTAGATGTTTGGCCTCCATGCTCCAATTCGCCTTTTGGAGAGTATTTAATGTTGTTGAAGGTATTTTTTTTGTCAATGAGCTTTGGCGGCTTTGATGGAAGTGATTTACGGGCTAAATATGGTTGAATAGAAAGAATATTATTTTTAACACAAAGGTCTATTACTACAAGGATCCCTTCTGCAATGTTACCATACCATATGAACAATACAATATGACACATAATAAGGGGCCCTTAATTACAATAATGTCAAATTCAGCAATTCGATATTTGATTTTTTGCAAGACAATCATAAATCATTATACTACTGTCTTCTCTTTTTATCCTGCTGTCAACGTGTTCTTTAGCCAATTCACTTCTGTTGACACTACCCTCATTCATTTCGTAACCGCTATATAGAGGAGTCATGAATGGTGGCACAGTGAATCCATTTGGCAGGGAAAACTGTTTTAGAGCTCAATGATAAAAAAAATATATACTGTATATTGATATTCCATCAATGGATACCATAGGCACCATCGATTCAATACTTGAATTACATGAGTCAGGACAACGATAAATTGTCCTATCAATATTTTGTCCCACCCTATTGCTCATTGAGAACACAGTAAGGAATACAGCTCTCTCTTTGCCATGTGGTATTACATCCCTCTAAGCTCTGACGGACATCTTTCGATGTTGTCATCTCAACGTTTCATCTCTTACAATGGGTTTGATGCAGTTATTTGTGTCTCCATCAAACAGTGAACTATTTTTCACACAGCAGTAGGGTATGGAAACAAGCAGCAGTTCTTGTTTTCTCCGGATGATGTTGTGGAAATGTGATTAAAACTTGGCTTACTTTCATGTCACTGTGACTCTCCGTCTCTCTGACCTGTTTACTGATTCAACACCAGTATAGCGCTGAGGCTTGTTGCTATGGCGACCACTGCTCTGTCCCTGACTCTGACCTTGTTGAAGCTGAGAGACATTTCGTCATTACCATCTCTCTCTCTTTTCTGCTGCTCCGAATGACTCCAGCTCTCCTCTCACCTCCTCCATCACCTCCTCCATCGCTTCCTCTCCTCCCTTTATTTTCCCTAAAGTCTGCCTTTTTGTGATGCCTCCGCCTCTTCTCCTCCCACTTTTCTCCTTTCACATGTCTCCCTTCCCCTGTCTCTTGCTACAGATTTATTTTTAGTTGAAATATCTTCTTCATTTTCGGGGAAGATAAAAGATTCACAGATAAAATAAAAATCCAGGACGGATAAAACATCAACTCAGTCAAGGTGCTTCCCTCCTGAGAGCAGTGATGCTTTTATTCCAATCCAATCCAGGCCAAAGTGCTAACATAAAACAATAAAAACACAAACACCAATGTAAAGACATTATTCTTCATTTTGAAAATACATTTTACAAATTCATCAATGTCAGTAATTTTTTCCGTTTTTTTCAAATGTATATATTTTTGGAATATCTCTGGCTGTCATTCATTCTATTTAACAATTTTTAAACAGATTCTCTGTGCACGTAATTGAACTGCTTCAGACTTTTTCTCTGATTGCCAGCATGTTCTTTTCCACTCTTGCCTGGTTACTTTAAATACATCCAATTACTTGTAGTATTGACATTCTGGCGAAACACTGTCAGTGTACCGTCAGATTGTGTTGTTTCATCTGACATTGTGGACACATTGTAAAGATTATACTGTGATATCTGTAGTGTCCTTTTTAAGCCATGTCATGCCTCTGGAGACCCTCCACCCTCTCTTGTCTGACAGAGAACATTGTGAGGGACATTTCAGGGGAAGACTGTCCTTCAGGAGTGCATGTGTGAATAGGGCTTATATGTAACACTGTGATTAACCTGTCCAGGGTGTACCCCACCTCTCACCCAATGACAACTGGGATTAGCTCCAAACCCTTGTGACCTGAACGGCCTATAGATAGGTGTATAGAAGTCCCTCTGGATTTCCTCTATAAATAGTTTTTCAATTTTTGATTCATTAGGAAGCATTGAAATATGACTTATATGTCAGATTCTCTGCTTTTAAACAATTTGCAAGCCTGGATCACAGCATTACCATGTTATAACTACATTTAAGTCGATCTCTTAAGTGGATGCTTGATGACATGGCCACGTTCTAAATATGGTGAATGTTTAAACCTAAAAGAAGAGAGATAAATCTGACTACACCAACAGGGAATGAGGTATTCACTCTCTGATTGCTATTCCTAGTCAACACTTTTTCTTCCCAGTTGTTTTCTTTCAAGAATGATCTACGTATATCACCCCATATTGACCAGCCCTTCACATTACTTACCACTTCTCAGAAGTTCATTGTTATTATTGTTTTTCATACAGTTTGTATACAGAGACTACCATATATCTATACATTTATTATAGCAACTCCAATCTCTGAATCCATCAGCTATTGTCTGATGATGACAAAGCCTCTGAGAGCGACGGCCATCTTTGGCAGCCTCCAATGTAGCCAGCATTTAGCATTGACAGCATATAGATACCCTGAAGGATCAAATCTATTTTCTTCCACTCCTCCTCCTTCTTAGACAAAACTCTGTTGTTAGTGTTGTGCCAACTGCTGGAGGAGATGTATATTAGAGTAAAATCAGACACCTCTGACCTCTGTTGTCCCTTCCCCTTCTGCAGGTGAACAACAGCAATAAGAAAGAGTGGAACGGCATGATGGGAGAGCTGCTGGGAGGCCTGGCCGACATGATAGTCGCTCCCCTCACCATCAACAATGAGCGTGCTCAGTACATCGAGTTCTCCAAGCCCTTCAAATACCAGGGGCTCACCATCCTCGTCAAGAAGGTGAGCAGTTGTGTCAGATCTCTCAGATACAGATTACAGTCTTCTCTGGATGGAGTCCACACACAAAAACACAAAACATCTAGGGGATAATGCAAACTTGATCAGGAGATAATTGGTGCAAAAGATTTTTTATGGTTTTAGAATAACAACTTTTATGGCTAGAGCATGACTAATCAAACTTAAAGAACACTTGAGGCTGTATAGCTTTTCTGTTTAATAATAATAATAATAATAATAATAATAATAATAATAATAATAATAATTTATACTTTATTGATCCCGCAAGGGGAAATTCATTTTTTACATTCTGTCTAGTAAACATGCTACACAAACATAGGCTGAAATAACACACACATGCACAAACAGGATCCTATGGACATGCACTAATGGAGAGGTCTCAGAGTGAGGGGGTTGCCCACAGTGGGCGCTCCTGAGCTGGTGGGGGGGTTAGGTGCCTTGCTCAAGGGCACCTCGGCAGTGCTCAGGAGCTGGACTGGCACCTCTCCAGCTACCATGCCAATTTATATGCTACTTATATACAGCTAGGGAAAGTATGAAGGGCTAAAATAGTGCAGAAACACTATTCTAGTCCACTTGGGTGTGTAAATGTATTCAAAAGAAATCTCAAAATAAGCAAAAGAGGACTCAAGACGTGATCGTGATTCCACTACGGTGCAGAAAAGGCACAAACTGGTGCTTTCAAATGTTTGGTGATTAAAATTCATCAAGGTGAGACACAAACGTGCATAGTCATGTTCATCATTTGAAGGCCATCAGGGGCCCTTAATGACAAATGATAAAAAACAACAACATATGAATTCAAACATGAAAAATGGGCCACTTTACAGTTAAAAAGAACATTTCAGAAACGTTTCATCAATAAATTTGCCAAAACAAATCAACATTAATTTTTCTTCTGGTGAAATTGGATGATTGTGTTAAATGGGTATGTAATAACATCTGAAATTGACCCTAGGTCCATGAATCAAATCAAATTGAAATCATATTTATGATATTGGCAAATTTCATATCACTGTCCAAAGAATTGGTATATGGTATCATGATGAAACTGGTGAAAACCAATGAAGAAGCTGCTGAACCATTGCTGTTTGGGTTTAAATACATAATACAGGAGAAAGAGTCTATAACACTTAATCAGACCTGACATCTGGACCTCCTTACAGCTCGAATCAGGCTGCTGTCATGCTGCTCTGAAAGATTATTTGGGATATTTTGAGTCAGTGACCCAATTTACTGCTAGTGAGGCTCAGCAGCAGGAAGTTGGTCAATTGTTTCCATCGACCCTCCACACTTCTGATCCAGGATCATATCTGGTCCACTGGTTTAATACCTCTAATGGATCCAACAGGGATAATTAATTCCTTCTGGCTGGAGCATTAAACAGTTATTCTTTAATTACAGATAGTTACGCAGAGTTGGAGATTAGTGCCTTGCTCAGAAACAACGTCAAAGTAATATAAATTATTTATCATTCCAGTTTTAATACTGTGTCAATTGACCAACCTCAATAGGTAGGTGGGAGTCCACCATGAAATATATAAAGTATGAATGCAACACATATATATATATATATTATTCTGCATGATAATTATGATGGGATTGTTAAAATGACGTGTTGTTTTTTTGTGTGTTCAGGAAATCCCTCGCAGCACTTTGGATTCATTCATGCAGCCGTTCCAGAGCACACTGTGGCTGTTAGTCGGTCTGTCGGTCCACGTGGTGGCAGTGATGCTTTACCTATTAGACCGGTTCAGGTAATTACACACACACACACACACACATGATGGTATTCTGCTATTCTAATAAGAAGTTTATTTGAAAAGACTGTTTTGGCCTCCATTAGAACTGTAAAAATACAACTAACTAACTAACTAGCGGTGCAACGATCCATCGACCTGCATTGAGAAATCAATTGATGGAACAATGATCCAATCAAATCAATGGAAAGTCAAAACATCGATCGACATCGTAATTTTTATATCTCTTTTAGTTTGAAATTCCCACCAGGCGTCTGTTTGACAGTTTCTGACCGTCATCTGGAACTTTCAAACAAGCTAGTGGCAAGCAGACGTTAGCAAGAAACCAAGATAAACACAGAATACATTAAGCATTAAGCAATGTGGAATTTATTTTGGACAAAGACAAGACCTGGTTGGACTGGCCAACTTTTAATTCTGAACATGTTAGCATGTTTCTTTTCTTTTTTTTTTTTTACCCGTATACTATCATCATCTAACTCCTACATAGATAACACTATCCGCCATTGTTATCTACCCATAGCTAAAGTTTTTTGATTAGTGTCTGATGCAGGCTCTGCAGGTAAACAAAGACAGAAGCCTGCTGTGTCTCCATGGATTGAGCCAACATAACATTATTAACTTTTCAAGAAAACCTGGATCATATTTTATGGATGAAATATTTTCTGGTCATCTCTGAGGTCCTCTGGCTGCTGAGTCTAAACTTTCATTGAATCACAAGTTTCTAACTGGTGAGAATGTTTGCTTGTAGCTGTTAGCAAGTTGGCTCAATATGTCCCAGTCTGGAAGCTCACAACGCCAGGGGGATATGAGTGTTTACATCACTTGCAAATAAGATTTGGACTGCCAAGACCTACAGGTTTTTAAGCCTGGGGCAGGAGGGGCGATGTTGGAATCAGAGCGAGTGAGCAGCCAATTTACCGCACCCCAGGCAACCCCAGAGTACATGAGTTATTGACTGACTGCCATACAGGCTCTCTGAGCGTTGGCTAACTTTTCAGGGCTTCTGATTTAGCCAGCTGTCAGTGAAAAAGGCCTTCAAGCCAAGACTTCCTTGTCCATACTTTGCCACAGTTTACGGTCCAACTAGCGACTTCAGAAACAAGAAAGGAGATGGTGTTGAGTGAAAATGTCTAAGAGATGAATGAACGAGCACATTTTTAAAGACAGTTATTAAAGCTGTCAACGTTGTATTTGTTTTACAATGAGGTGTGGCCAAGCAAAAATCTGGCATGTTCCTATCTTGAGGATGCTGAAAACACCTGAGCCTTAGACCACCTAAAACCTGGTCTAAACTCTGAAGTGTGTTGAACAGTATGTTTCTGATATTAAGAGGATGCATTAGAAACATGGGCACACTACGTCACAACGACCATCCACTGAGCTTAATCCACAAACACAGGATGTACAACAGCACACCTACTCCACAGTTTAATATCATATGTGCTGATACATTCAAATAGAGTGTTTAAAGGATTGGAGGGCTGACAGACAGAGAGCTTTTGTTTCTGTTTCTGTTTGTTTCCAAGCACTCCTCCTTGCATGTCCCAGGGCACGTTCTGTTTAATACACAGAGAAACACATGCAGAAGCATACACACACAGAGTTGGATTTATAATAAATCTTGTACATAACTGTGAGTGTTACTGAAAATACAGCCCACAGTTATTAATACAGACTGTCTAGTGTCCATTCCGCCTGCATTATAGAATATAGCCAGGGATTCCAGCATTTCAGCAGAGAATATGAGTAAATAAATGTTTACAGCCTACCTTTATTTGATGTTTAAAACACAGAACATTACTAAACATAGATCCTGTCTCATCCTGTCAGTTTGTCTGGATATCTTAAAAATGAATAAGGATACACTTTTGTGCCTCATGTGGAAATATTCAGTGAATCTTTCTGATTGTTTCTGATGATGTGGGAATAATTCAGTGAAATATAACTTCATTCCACCATCAACGTATCTTTTATACAATGTTCTGTTTGGGTTCTGGATATTCAGGGGCAAAATGAAAGCAGAGAAGTTAAATGAGCCGACCAGAGTTCATTCTGTCCTTGAAAAAAAATGGAAATCTGCCACGTACATCTGGCTCTTAAATGGAATGACACTCTGATTGGTTTGATTCATTTTACGACAAAACACACCTATGCATAATCAAGCCACATAATCCATCGTATTTGTGCTCTGCACCCAGATTGTGCGCCTTGTAAATACCAATATATAATCAGACACTCCCCAAATGGTCTGAGCGCCACACCCTTCAGACAAGGTGCTTTACGCCACTTAAAAAGGGCCCTTAGACACAAATATTAATTGCTTGAGTGATGGGAAAAATAACAGTAACTGTCAGCAATGTTTCTCGAACGACCTAAAAAAACACAACTCAGAAAACATACCTGTGTTCCTGCAGCCCGTTCGGAAGGTTTAAAGTGAATAGTGAAGAAGAAGAAGAAGATGCCCTCACCTTGTCCTCGGCTATGTGGTTCTCATGGGGAGTACTCCTGAACTCTGGGATAGGAGAAGGTTGGTTGTCTTCTAACTGAACACATCCTGCCCTTCAGTCCTATCGATCACACTAATAATCTGTCTGTGAATGTAGGAGCTCCCCGGAGTTTCTCAGCGAGGATTCTTGGTATGGTGTGGGCAGGTTTTGCTATGATCATTGTAGCTTCATATACTGCCAACCTGGCAGCCTTCCTTGTGTTGGACCGGCCTGAGGAGCGCATCACTGGCATCAATGACCCCAGGGTGAGACACTCAATTCTTCTCTCATTGTATTAAAATAAATCAATTACTATCTCCCTTCCAAATCTTTTGTGCCTCAATTAAGCAAAACAACTGACTTTATCCTAAGTGCTCAAATCACCTGAATAAGTTGACTAGATGTAAATCAATTGAGTTCATAGTGGATTGATTGGATGAAGTTATATTTTGGTGTCACTTTGATTGCTCAATCTTCAAATGAAGAAGGTTAGGACATCTTGAAAACTGAAACTGTCTGATTTTTGCACATTTGCACTGCTTCCAGATATGAATTGCTGTGAGGCAGGTCTTGTTAACTCCTTGTGATCTCTGCTCTGGTCACAAATGGAAGTTAAGTGTCACTTTAAACCTGAGAGTGGTACAAACCTCTCAACCTCTGCTTGTCATAATTAGCTGACACAGAGTTTGGCAGACCAACAGGAGAGACAGTCTGTGGTGCTCAGGATTTCATAACAAAATACAAACAGGACTCAATTGTTGTTGTTTTTTTCCTCTGACTGTATTAAACCGGACGTTCCACTTCACAGCTGATGAAGAAAAACGATAAATATGAAGCTTTCAGGTTAAACTGGTTAACGTGGAAGTTTACTGTGCTATTGAGGTTTAAATGGGAATTTGGTTAAGGGAATGAGTTGTTATCTTTGTAGATTGTTTGCCTGAAACACCCGTCTGTACTCTGGTGACAATTCACGCTGATATTTGACAAACACACATTAGACCGAAGTATAGACGGAGTATAGACTGTAGATAGATCAATTCATGTTTAGTGATCCCGAACTGAGAAATTGTTGAAACTTGATCTTACAGAGTAGAAATATGAATATTAAAATATCAAATGTGAGCCTATCGACAATGTTCTGTGCTGTAATTGTTTTTAGCTTCGGAATCCGTCAGATAAATTCATCTACGCCACAGTGAAGCAGAGCTCGGTTGATATTTACTTCAGACGGCAGGTGGAGCTAAGCACCATGTACAGGCACATGGAGAAACACAATTACGAGAGCGCTGCTGAGGCCATCCAAGCTGTTAGAGACAAGTAAGCTGTTTATACACTTGGGATTATATCTGTCATACACTTGACTGGTTTGATCCACATTCATTAATCAATTGTATCCACCAGACACATAATGTTTTCTTCTCCTCCCTCTGTAGTAAGCTTCATGCCTTCATCTGGGACAGCGCTGTGTTGGAGTTCGAGGCATCGCAGAAGTGCGACCTAGTGACTACGGGAGAGCTTTTCTTTCGTTCCGGTTTTGGGATTGGAATGAGAAAAGACAGTCCATGGAAACAAAACGTTTCTCTTGCTATTCTCAGGTACAAAGAAACACTACAAACATACTGGTAGTCGTGTTCTTTTCTACAATACCTAGTTGAGGCTATTTTGATACCCAAAAATCTCACTGATCAACTTTTGATACTCTGTTACATTTATAATACTATACTAATACTGTACAGGTGCTCTGCTTATAGCCACAACAGCCACAAAAGGCTAAGAAAGCCTATTAATTTATCGATGGACAATTGATGCCCTCCATTTGAAGACTTTACTCACGCTCTGTTTATACCCCATTTTTGGTCAACATGTACCCTTCTGATTTCTTGCTTGTGTTTCCTGATACACCTATCTGATACATTTTTAAACCCCACTGATAGTCATGTGATTGTCTAGTGATACCCTTTTACATTTTGAATTCTGATACACAGTCTGATAACAACGTAGCCCTCAAGAAACCCTATGAATACCTTTTGGACACTCTGCTTATTCTCTACTATTACGCTATGATACCCGACTAATGAACTGTTCATACTTTGCATCCCCTCTATTTGTACCCACCTCATGCTTCTCTAATTCTCTACAGATATATTGCCCTAATGACTTGTTAACATAGACTTGGTCTTATGCTGTGTGTTGATGTCTTACTATTTTTCATTGTCTTTCCCTAGCTCCCACGAGAATGGCTTCATGGAGGACTTGACAAGACATGGGTACGATACCAGGAGTGCGACTCCAGGAGCAATGCCCCTGCCACCCTCACCTTTGAGAACATGGCAGGTAAGAAGCAGACTAATGGACTGGTGTGGATCATTTAAGTAAATGTTTAGCTTCTAGATTTAAAATTAGTAGCATACTTCCAGATTTAAAAGTTCATTCTTTTGAAACAATTATGATGTTCTAATGAATGATCTGAGGCAAACTGTACCTATAGCCAAAAATGAACAGTAATGTTGGTTTAAGGATTGTGACTTTTTCCTCTTTTATGTCACACATTCAGTGCATTTGCATTGAGTTATAAAGCAACACATTTTAAAATCAGAAATATATAAATATCAATTGCACCATTGCAATAGCACATGTTACTTAGCTCTAATGTATATTCATTTTATCACTGAAAGGGTCGCACGATTTACATGTTGAGGTCTGATATTAATAATAATACATTTTATTTTAAGGTACTCAAAGACACTGTATATAGTTAAAAGTTATAAGATCAAAACATCATAGTATAGGAAGAAACTAGCAAACATAGCAACTACAGAAAGTAGTATGACAGTGGAGTAGCTCAATGAGCAATAAGGGGGTCTGGTGGTTGAGGGATTTTGTATTGAATACAGTAAGGGACAGGGAGCAAGTGGAAATGAAGAACAGGGGTAATGTGGTCACAGGACTGGTTTTGGGTCAGTAAAGTCCTGGATGTATAGGAGATTATTGAGGACTTTGGATGATGTCCAGTAAAGGATGTTATTGCAGTGGTCGTATTCATAGTTAAGTGTTAGACAATTTGTATGCATCCATGTTTTTATTTCAGTAAGGCAGTTTGTTAGTGTGGAGCTGGTTGCTGTGGTGATGGAATTGGTGGAGATGTAAAGCTGGATGTCATTCGTAGAGGTGGAAAGGACCATGATGACGAAGAAGCTGCCATATCGATGTAACTGAATAGCATGGTGCCGTTCTTCTATAGCTCCTACAGTTAGTGCTACTGAGTTTAAGACAAACTTCACAGCAAACAGTCTTCATGCTGTCGGTATGACATTAGCAAATATGTTGTTAGCAGTCCTGAGGGAAAGTGAGATCCATTACTAAAAAACTATTAGCCAGTGCTAGCAGCCGTTGTCGCTTGACTGCCCTTAGTTAGTTCAAAACAAAAATATAGGGTGAGTTAAAACGACTAAAAACAATGCTGCTTTGCCCGTGGTGTACTTTTTCGGTCCTGAACAAGCGAGCTAAGTGATTAGGCAGGTAAAACCCTGGGTAAAACAATAGTTCAATATAAAGTCAGCGTTTTGGTACAATGTTTCGGAGTTACGGCTGCCGCCACATATGTAAAGTTTGTTTCAGTGTGTGCTCAAAAATCTGATCAAGGTAGCCTAGTGGTTGGATTGTGCGCTCCATGTTCAGAGACTTTGAGAGCAGGCGACCAGGGTTCGAATCTGACCTGTGGCTCCTTTCAAGGCATGTCGTTCCCCACTCTCTCTTTCGCCAGTTTCTTACGCTATCCACTGTCCTATCTCTAACAATAATGGAATAAAAAGCCCCAAATTACATTTTAAAAAAAACTTAAGCTTTTTATTACCTCAACTAACATCAATCGACTTTACCTATCCTCTTCAGGTGTGTTCATGCTGGTAGCTGGTGGCATCGTCGCGGGGATATTCCTCATCTTCATCGAGATTGCTTACAAACGACACAAAGACGCCAGAAGGAAACAGATGCAGCTTGCCTTCGCTGCAGTGAATGTCTGGAGGAAGAACTTACAGGTACCTGTCTCTACTTCTGTACTCTTCTTCTTCTCTAAAAATCTCTAACATACTGTACTGTAGGATTATTCACTTTACTGTACTGAACTCTACTGTACCTAAACTGCACTCTTATTCTACTTTACTAAAGGTCTTTATTATGCTGTTGTTTACTCTGGTAAAAACTCTAACTTTACTTTAATCCTGCTCAATTCTTACACTATTGTACTCCACTTTTCTTTTTTGACTAAACTCTATTCTAAAGAACTCAGCTGTACTGAATTTAAGATGACTCTACTGCACTGTAATCAATTTAACTCTACTCTCACTATCCTGTTCTCTACAATTGTTAGTGGAGTCACGGGTTACTTCTCGAAATTTTCTGGACTACAATTGAATGTGTGGGGTTGGTCTTGGAAAAGACATTCTCATTCATTTTCTGATAATGTTGGTACTTTTGTAACACATTTTGAGATATGCACCTTTATGCCTTTTACCACAAGAAGCCCCTGCTGAGCCATCTATGGGGCCCATAGATGGCTCAGCAGGGGGTTTCTTGAATGAATGCTGAATAAACCAAGGTGTTTGTCTCAAGGTCAGTCTTTAGTCAATTGTTAGCCAAACAGTACCACTTCTTTTATAGCCACTGACTGTGAGTGCTTTTTTTGGCAAGTGCTGTGATTGCCTGCCCTCTACTTCCCCTAGTTCCCCTAGTGTTGCAATGATACTGGCTAGCTACTAAATACGAAACATCTCACATACTGAGAGAGGAGAGAGAGAGTAAGATGGAGAGTCTTTGCAGCGACTTTCAAACACACCAAGACAATTATCTGTTGATCTGCCTGGAGCCTGATTGGACAAACATTTCGTATCTCTACCTGAGTTGTGAGAAGAATTGTAGGACATTAACGCTGCTGCTCTGGTATCAGGCAGTGGTTTAATCTCACTTCTGGATAAAAGAAGAATACATTCGGCTGCACCCAAAACTGTGTGAAACCTAAAATCAGGTTTAGTATCTCTGCAGCCACCACCAAGTCTCTGACAGGAATATTTATGATGTAGTTTGTAATGTCCTCTCAAAAACCTGCAGCCTCACAGCATCCATGTTTGTATTCAGATTGTGGTTCAGGGCTGTCAGAACAATACAGCACAGCAGTTCAATGAGGTATGATGGGAAATGTCCACAGGGATTCATCTGCCCGCTGTCTCGGCGACAAACCTCCTGTTTCAACTGTTGTTGAATCATCAAATGTCAGGAAAAAGATCTCAGAGAGGAAAACAATAAATAGACATCTGTGTGTTTTTCTGCTCTAAATTTAATGTTCAGGGGCAACTATGACTCATACTTATTATATGCTGATAAACCCAAGAAACATTCATGTCAAAAGAAATGCATGTTTGCCTTTAGGACACACAATTAATGAAAAACTGGAAAATGGAATGGAAAAAAAAATGTATTGATTAAATTGTAGCTACAGAATAAAATAAATTACCTATTCAATGATTCATTGCTGCTTTAAGTCATTTTGTTTGGGCAAATAACAAAATTACGTTATCACGTTATCTTGTCATTTAAATGTTAAATTCTCATTAGGAGACATGCGTGGATGGCTCAGCTTGTAGCTCTATATTTTCTGATCTTCAGTTCAATGAATTATGAACAGTCATTCATATAGTGAAGGTATAAATATACATGACATATATGCCTCATTTATGTATGTATGTGAGTAACATGTCTGATCTCATAGATGTTCAGCAGAGGACTGAAACATAGGACAGACAGTCATCAACATAGAATTTCATGTTTGTGTTTCACATCTAAATTTAATGTGTCCCTGTTGTTGTTGGCGGGTGTGTGATCAGAGAAAAACACCCAGAGGATCATCAGATAGACACATAGACATCAGTTTTACACGATGGAGGACACAAGACAATACATGTGAGGGAATCATATTGCTTTATCCCGTATTTACCGCATCACATTGCTAAAAACTACATCACAAACAGACAACACAACAAAATACAGCAGCTCTACCAAATTTTGTATTATACAATTTAATAACCAACACTGTTTTGCTTTGGTATAGGTTTGTGTTGTGGTTCCCCAACACAACAAAAGACAAAGCACAACTAACTGGAAATTACAAGATTATAATGCAACACAACCAATGACAACAACACAACCTAATACTTTATTGAAAAAAATACTATAAGCACAAATGCTTCAACACACCCCAATATTACAACTCAATCAAATATCTTAGAACAGTAGTAGGTGAACCTGCGGAAGGATCATTACCGGTTTTGAGATCCCCGCACCCGAGGCCGCGTGGCCCCTCGGTGCTGGCGGCGGACATGTCAGAAAAACACATTTGTCTCACAACTCAACCAGTTTAAATAACACAAGTTAAAACCACAGCTAAACCAATTACAATCCCACAACCAATAACAAAGAATGAAAAAAACACAACAAAATGTATCACAACACATCCAAATACAGATAACACAAGAAAGTACCACAACACAAGCAAATAGCAAAATATATACAAAAACAAATTAAATTCCACAACATATACCAAATCACAATTCAATTTTGCCAAATACCACCAAATATGCATTTGGCGGTTTTGTGGAATGTAGTTGTGTATCTAAATTTGTTTGTGTTGTCTGTATTTGTAGTGCTGATTCTTTATTTGATTTGCTGTGTGTTGAGCTCTCGGATCCCAGATATTAGTAGTATCAACAAAACTGAAACCAAATGCCGTCTTCGCACAGACAGGGAGACATTATCTCGTAATCTGTCCATCTTTCCAACTTTTATGGCTGCCAGCAAATACCCTTGTATCTCCTTGAAAAAATTCACTGCATGTCATTAAAGTTGCTGCAGCAGTTTTGACGCTCATAAAATATCAAATCAAACTTTATTGCTCTCCGTAGAGGAACACAGAGCGTCACTGCAGCAAAAACAAGAATGCAGTGAGAAAATGTAAAAGTGAACAGTATCATTAGATTGAGGCTTTGAGACATATGAATAGCTGTGTGCTGCAGTCATCAAATCATGCAAAAATATTCCCTTAAAAGGATAATTCACCCGTTGAAACATGAATCTGTATTGACATTGGGTCATATATGTAGTAGAAATGTGAAATAAATGTCGAAGTTGGTGCCTTCTTCACCGAGAAAAGGCAGAAAGTGTCTTTTTGGCTCATGTGGATGAAAGACAACAACTCCCAGAATGCACAGCACAGGAGGCCACACCCACTTAAGGGTGCTCTATTTACAGACATTTACTACAGCACATAAGGCCGTTTCCTCAACTGATTCCGAGATTTCTTCCAGTAGAAATTGGCATCTTGGAAATTCAGAAAACAAACTCTATGTCTGTGTTCACTGGCAAAACAGTGAGAGCACCAACACTACCAGTCCGCTCCAGCTTGAGCAAGATGGCAGACATACGTCTGTAGCTTCTGTGGTCGAAAACATGATGAACTAGCGATGTAGTTTCACCCCCACTAACCATAGCAGCCTCTGATGACACAAAATGACAATTTCTGAATCATCGCTCATTTTCAGACTTAGAATTACAAAGATATGCAAAAATATGGATGAATAAAGAAGGTTGTATGCAAATAGGTAAACGATCATAACTTAAAAGTTATAGAAGCTTTCTATTGAATTTTACTGATTAAGCTATTTCCTGTTACCTCACACATTAGATGGACCAACTGAATTACAGACAGCTATGATAGAGCCAAACAATAGGATACTTTACATTTAAAATAAGGAGTGTCATGCTACTAAACATAGTATTGGTATCAAAGTCATAATTTTGTTATTGTGACAACACAAGATGGTACTAACTGACAAGCCTACAGGACAGCTATAACACAGTATGTTAGCTGTCATTTATTAGTGTACAGGGCCTCAACGTCACAATCAGTTCTTCTTGACTAATGTTAAATGTATAAGGTGCAGTTTTTGTTTTAATAATACACTGAGCTTTACCACACACAAGACACTTATGATGAGACAGTGCTTGTTCAGATAAATACCTTATGCCAAAACTTAAAACAAAAAAATGAACTCAAAACAAGAATGTATTATATATGAAAAAGGAGGTTTGTCAAAATAGTAATTTATTTGAACTACTATACTCCCACTGCAGTGACGATTTTAAAGAAACATAGTCTACTGTACACAGCTTAAACAGGAAGAAGATATTGAGAATTCAGTGATAACACTGTGGCACCAAAATAATTATTTTCTGTGTGTTTATCCTTAAGGGGGAAAATTAAACACTAGTTCCTCTATATTGGTGAACTCACCAACCAAAGCAGACTCTATTGTCATTCTATGGGAAAAATAAATCTTTTTTTTTATGAAGAACCTGTTGGGCCAGTTTAATGATGGAAGATTCACAGATGCACACGCTGTTTATGCTTCATATGACTGATTACTTAACTGTTCATGCACACAGATGAACAGAGAAGAAACCTGCTTGGATTTTTTCTGGTTTGAAGTCTTTGTTCCAGATGTTTTACAGCCTTGCCAGCAGCTGGGACTGAACACATTAATAATCATCAATTCTCTGCCTGGATTAGCACATCAAACACTAGCAGCTAAAGGCTAACCACTAGCAGAGGATGATTAGCACTTCAAACAGCTGTGTCCTTAGGCGTGGAGTTAGCTGAGCTGGATTAACGCATAAAACGCAGCAGCTATGAGAGAAATGCAAGACAAAATGCAAATGAGCTAGAGATATGAAACCCCTTTTAGAGCAACTCACACTGCCAGCCATTCAACAGACAGATGTGCACAGATCTAAAAGAACATTATTTTTGTGATAAGTCTGTAAACCAGAATATTAAAGGTGTTTTACTTCATGCTGTCATTTGGTGTTCTGGTGGTAAAGGGGGTGGTTAGAGATGAATCTCTGCTACTGCTTATAGATACTACAACTAAGTATGAAATTAAACCTTAGACAAAGGACAGGGTCTTGTGTGTTACAGACACCACACACC